ATGAGCAAAAGTAGAAGTTATTCGACGTTTTTTCTCTATATGAAAATCTGTTTTGCTTAAAAATTTTGATAAGCTAACAAATGGCACAAATTGCGAACAAATCAATTAACTAGAATGTGTAGAATATGAAACTACATTTGACCTTACAACTACGTTGGGAGATGTAGCATTATTTTTAAACATGATTCAAAAATTGCTCAAAAACATGTATTCAAAAAATCAATTTTCTCACAAAACCAAAGTAATTAAGCTTTTAGGTGCTTGTATATTCTAAAGGTGCCTACATAAAATTTCCTATAAACTCTGCAATTTTGAAACTTTTACTTCAGCGTTTACGTTTAGCATAAAAAAAGCCCAAACACAAGCAAATTTTCAGCATATTTTCATATAGAGAGTGCCATAAAAATTGGCGATTATGATTCAGATACCAATTTTGATAAAACTATAGATAATTTACTAACTAAAAGGTGTATAACACGAACATATAACCGATTTTGATCCATTCAACTGCAGTACATGTAGAGAAATTTTTCATCAAACATTGTTCAAAAACAAGAGTTCGAAAAATCGATTTTTTTTAAAAAACTTAACTGATTAAATATTTAAATGTTTATATATTTTAAAGGGTGCATAAAATTTACTATATACGCTGAAAGTTTCATACCCTTATAGCCATTTTTACTATTTTTTGTAGGGACTTTAATAAAGGCGCAAAAATGAGCAAAAGTAGAAGTTGTTCGACGTTTTTTCTCTACATGAAAATCTGTTTTGCTTAAAAATTTTGATAAGCTAACAAATGGCACAAATTGCGAACAAATCAATTAACTAGAATGTGTAGAATATGAAACTACATTTGACCTTACAACTACGTTGGGAGATGTAGCATTATTTTTAAACATGATTCAAAAATTGCTCAAAAACATGTATTCAAAAAATCAATTTTCTCACAAAACCAAAGTAATTAAGCTTTTAGGTGCTTGTATATTCTAAAGGTGCCTACATAAAATTTCCTATAAACTCTGCAATTGTGAAACTTTTACTTCAGCGTTTACGTTTAGCATAAAAAAAGCCCAAACACAAGCAAATTTTCAGCATATTTTCATATAGAGAGTGCCATAAAAATTGGCGATTATGATTCAGATACCAATTTTGATAAAACTATAGATAATTTACTAACTAAAAGGTGTATAACACGAACATATAACCGATTTTGATCCATTCAACTGCAGTACATGTAGAGAAATTTTTCATCAAACATTGTTCAAAAACAAGAGTTCGAAAAATCGATTTTTTTACAAAACTTAACTGATTAAATATTTAAATGTTTATATATTTTAAAGGGTGCATAAAATTTACTATATACGCTGAAAGTTTCATACCCTTATAGCCATTTTTACTATTTTTTGTAGGGACTTTAATAAAGGCGCAAAAATGAGCAAAAGTAGAAGTTGTTCGACGTTTTTTCTCTACATGAAAATCTGTTTTGCTTAAAAATTTTGATAAGCTAACAAATGGCACAAATTGCGAACAAATCAATTAACTAGAATGTGTAGAATATGAAACTACATTTGACCTTACAACTACGTTGGGAGATGTAGCATTATTTTTTAAACATGATTCAAAATTGCTAAAAAACATGTATTCAAAAAATCAATTTTCTCACAAAACCAAAGTAATTAAGCTTTTAGGTGCTTGTATATTCTAAAGGTGCCTACATAAAATTTCCTATAAACTCTGCAATTTTGAAACTTTTACTTCAGCGTTTACGTTTAGCATAAAAAAAGCCCAAACACAAGCAAATTTTCAGCATATTTTCATATAGAGAGTGCCATAAAAATTGGCGATTATGATTCAGATACCAATTTTGATAAAACTATAGATAATTTACTAACTAAAAGGTGTATAACACGAACATATAACCGATTTTGATCCATTCAACTGCAGTACATGTAGAGAAATTTTTCATCAAACATTGTTCAAAAACAAGAGTTCGAAAATCGATTTTTTTACAAAACTTAACTGATTAAATATTTAAATGTTTATATATTTAAAGGGTGCATAAAATTTACTATATACGCTGAAAGTTTCATACTCTTATAGCCATTTTTACTATTTTTTGTAGGGACTTTAATAAAGGCGCAAAAATGAGCAATAGTAGAAGTTGTTCGACGTTTTTTCTCTACATGAAAATCTGTTTTGCTTAAAAATTTTGATAAGCTAACAAATGGCACAAATTGCGAACAAATCAATTAACTAGAATGTGTAGAATATGAAACTACATTTGACTTTACAACTACGTTGGGAGATGTAGCATTATTTTTAAACATGATTCAAAAATTGCTCAAAAACATGTATTCAAAAAATCAATTTTCTCACAAAACCAAAGTAATTAAGCTTTTAGGTGCTTGTATATTCTAAAGGTACCTACATAAAATTTCCTATAAACTCTGCAATTTTGAAACTTTTACTTCAGCGTTTACGTTTAGCATAAAAAAGCCCAAACACAAGCAAATTTTCAGCATATTTTCATATAGAGAGTGCCATAAAATTGGCGATTATGATTCAGATACCAATTTTGATAAAACTATAGATAATTTACTAACTAAAAGGTGTATAACACGAACATATAACCGATTTTGATCCATTCAACTGCAGTACATGTAGAGAAATTTTTCATCAAACATTGTTCAAAAACAAGAGTTCGAAAAATCGATTTTTTTTACAAAACTTAACTGATTAAATATTTAAATGTTTATATATTTTAAAGGGTGCATAAAATTTACTATATACGCTGAAAGTTTCATACTCTTATAGCCATTTTTACTATTTTTTGTAGGGACTTTAATAAAGGCGCAAAAATGAGCAATAGTAGAAGTTGTTCGACGTTTTTTCTCTACATGAAAATCTGTTTTGCTTAAAAATTTTGATAAGCTAACAAATGGCACAAATTGCGAACAAATCAATTAACTAGAATGTGTAGAATATGAAACTACATTTGACTTTACAACTACGTTGGGAGATGTAGCATTATTTTTAAACATGATTCAAAAATTGCTCAAAAACATGTATTCAAAAAATCAATTTTCTCACAAAACCAAAGTAATTAAGCTTTTAGGTGCTTGTATATTCTAAAGGTACCTACATAAAATTTCCTATAAACTCTGCAATTTTGAAACTTTTACTTCAGCGTTTACGTTTAGCATAAAAAAGCCCAAACACAAGCAAATTTTCAGCATATTTTCATATAGAGAGTGCCATAAAAATTGGCGATTATGATTCAGATACCAATTTTGATAAAACTATAGATAATTTACTAACTAAAAGGTGTATAACACGAACATATAACCGATTTTGATCCATTCAACTGCAGTACATGTAGAGAAATTTTTCATCAAACATTGTTCAAAAACAAGAGTTTGAAAAATCGATTTTTTTACGAAACTTAACTGATTAAATATTTAAATGTTTATATATTTTAAAGGGTGCATAAAATTTACTATATACGCTGAAAGTTTCATACTCTTATAGCCATTTTTACTATTTTTTGTTGGGACTTTAATAAAGGCGCAAAAATGAGCAAAAGTAGAAGTTGTTCGACGTTTTTTCTCTACATGAAAATCTGTTTTGCTTAAAAATTTTGATAAGCTAACAAATGGCATAAATTGCGAACTAATCAATCTTTATTCATAGCAAAAATATCGACCAAACGTTTGCCTTAATATTGTCAACATAATATAAGAAATTCTGCATTGACGAAGCGTCTTTTGTCAAGACAACATGAATGTTTCTTTAGTTTTCATTATTTTATTTATTAAAAACATATAATTATAAGTTCGTAACATGGGAGATTTCGGAGAAGGTATGTAAGAATAATAAAAATCTTATTTTTTAAATATTTAATCCATCCAAACATAATTTTCAAAAAGGACCCTTAAAAATTGATTTTCTGTCAGGAAGCATAAACAATGATTGACCTAGTTCTCTAGATATAAACACTGTACTACAGGAATGCTTTTGACCAGCGCTTATTTTAGATTTCTCTCTGATTTTTTTGATGTTTCAGACTATTTAAAAAAGATATCCACTCTGGTTAGTCTTCAAGCGAAATATAAATTTACTAAATGTCTATGTAAAAATAGATATTGATTTGTTCTATAAGGGTTCTATATATGCTTATAATGTAGTTAATAATACCTTTATTAGATACCGAATTTTATTTTATTTCCAATGGTTAAGAAGAATTACACCATTTAAAGGTCTCTAATAAATAATATGTGTACCTCTTGAAAGATAGAAAAAAATAGGTCTTAGATATCTGAAAAAGTATGTTAAATTCACTTTAAATGCCAATTTTGGTATACCTAAGTGCGCTTTTACACGGTTACGGGGGTTATAAAGAAAATACAGCGCATTTTTTTAAATTGGAAATAACTTTTACTAGAGTTTAAAAAAAATCGCCACAAAATAAACTGATGAAATATTTTTTGAATGCGCTAAAATTATATTTGCTAAAATATATTTAATTTATACGCAAACTGAAACTTTAACTGAAAAATCGTACATTACAAAAACATCTTTACTGAAAAAAACGCTTTGATTTCTGTTTAGATATATATTTAAATCTAGAGAAAATCATGCCTGAAAATCATTCTTTACAAGTTAATTACAAACCATTACTCTATTTTCACGCAAGCAATTTCCACTGCTTCAGGCTCTAAATTTCCCGGTTATCCGATTTCTATTTTTGATAACACCACGATTGGATTTACACTTGGTCTTTAAAGTTCAGTTGATGTTGCCCTTTGCACCTATCAATCTGCCTTACTTCAAAGATTTTTTTGTCTAAAAATATCATCTTAAATTTAAAATAAATGGATGTGGGTTATGATCCATTACAGCACACGAGTATATATCATGGCAGAGAGGGTATTTTTTCCTATAATATCAATTTTTGAAAACAATTAATCCGCTGGAGTTCTTTTTATTTGTTTTTTTTTAAGATTCGGATGACAGTGATGGAGAAGGCGGTATGGGAAATGTTAACAGACAAATAATGCGACCTCCAGGTCACAGTGGAAAAGCAAAGAGAGGGCACTTATGTTTTGATGCATCTTTCGAATGTGGAAACTTGGGAAGAGTGGACTTGATCAACGAATACGAATACGATTTGTTTATAAGACCCGATACTTGCAGCCCTCGGTTAAGGTTCTGGTTCAACTTCACCGTAGACAACGTAAAACTTGACCAAAGAGTTATTTTTAATTTAGTTAACATAAGTAAAGAACGAAATTTGTTTATGGAGAAGATGACACCTTTAGTAAAGTCTTCTAGTCGGCCCAAATGGTATATGATGACTCAGAGCCTTATACTGCTTGAATAAACTCGTAATATTTTAGGCAAAGGATTCCCAAGAAGGATGTTTTCTATCATAAATCTAACGTTCACCAAGGCCACTACGTTCTGAGTTTTTCCTTTGGGTTTGATAAGGAGGAAGATATCTTTCAGTTCGCCCTAGCTCCTCCATATAGCTATTCAAAATTGCAAACATTTTTATCGTTACTTGAAAAGAAAGCTTCGTATTTGAAGGAGAGCTTTAACAGGGAACTCTTAACCGAGTCTGTGGTATAGATCTCTATACTCTACTAAAATGAAATAAAAACGATTATTTTCAGCAAAAGAGGAAAGTGGACTTAATAACCATCGGAGCTCTTGGAACAGTTGATAAGAACAAACTCAAAACGAAAAGGAGGATGGTTTGCATTATGGCTAGAGTTCATCCAGGAGAAACTCCAGCCAGCTTCGCATGTCAAGGTGCGTTATATTTTCTTATTTAGTTTCCATATCCCATATCCATATATATTCTTTATTTCAGGACTGTTAGAGCTCTTAATTAGTTCAAATTCTGTAGCCACAATTCTAAGAGATAATGTCACATTCAAGGTGATTCCGATGTTGAATCCTGATGGAGTATTTTTGGGGAATTACAGAAGCACTGTTATAGGTCAAGATCTAAACCGATGTTGGAACATAGCAAACCAATGGTTGCATCCTACTATTAAAGCTGTGATAGATACGTTGACAATACTAGATAAGAGTAAGGTATATAATATTATCCTTAAACGATATTTATTTAGAAATAATATATATTCAATATCACCAACATTTTTAGGAGTTCCAGTTAGATTTTGTTATAGATATTCACGCTCACTCTAGTTTACCTGGTTGTTTTGTTTATGGAAATACTTATGACGATGTTTATAGGTACAAAAAATAATATTTTGAGCTAGGTTGTAATCTTGTGCTATTAAAAAAATATTAAATAGCCATTGGCGTAACCGCAGAGTGGGAAATCATCCGAATAAAATATTTTTTTTAGATATGAGAGACATATATTATTCCCAAAGCTGTTGGCGTCTACTGCAGATGATTATATTGCTTCAAACACGATGTTTAACTCTGACAATACTAAAATTGGGACATCTCGCCGATATTTGTGCTCGTTATTAAGTGACAAAGTTAACTGTTATACTTTTGAAGTATCTATATTTGGTTACAAGCTGAAAGGAAATGATGCCATTGTGCCTTATACTGAAGATAGTTGTATCCTTTTAATTAAAATTTATTCTCATTATGTATTCTTTAACATTTTATCTAGATATGCGCTGTGGGCGAAATTTAGTAAGAACATTCCTGGAATACTATCAAAACATTGGTGCCATCCCCATTCAGTTAACTTCTAACGTCTCCAGTAAGAAAAGATCCAGGAGGTCGCAATATCGTTCAAAAAATAAGAATTATGTCAGAAATAGGACTCCGCTGACAGGAAAAACGCAAGCACAGTTGCATTTTAAAAATTTGAACATGAACTACGATAGTGAAACTTCTGTTGAAGATTATACATATTCCTACAGGGCGGCAAGTCCAAAGAAAGCTTTTGACAGAATTTCGGAACAGTATCGTCTTAGAAGTGCCAAGACGCCCCAAAAAAGGAACTTCAGAAGCGATTCTCCTGTTTCCACTTTCGTCGTTCTGCCTGAACCGAACTTAACAGTCATTGACTTCAACGTCATCTCCAGAGACGGCATTGATAGAGTATCACAACTCAATAAAATTAACAAAGTTCGCAATTACTAAATTACTTAAAAGGGTGCTAAATAAAACCACTATTAAAATGTATTTTTCTAATTTATTTAACAAAAAAATATCCTAACAAGATTTAATTATTACAAATTTTTACGGTTATTTATAACCATTGCTAATACTCTAAACGACGGTACATCTAAAATATAAACTAAAAAACGCTCTTTTAATTTGATATATATATTTCCAAATGTTTTGTTCTTACTATTGTTCCACGACAAAACTATATGAGAAGCAGAGCCACGGTTAATATTTGGTGGCAGAGCATTATTTAATATTAATTGACCCGAACGTTTTAAATAAATATAGAGGAAAAATATTTTATTACAAAAAAATGAAAGTGTAAAAAATAAGGTTTAAAAACGGTTTAAAAATTAACCAGAAGTTTTATAATAAAGATTCATTGAGACAAAAAATGGTAAAAATATAAATATGAAAATTATAATAAATATAATGAAACAGCATTACCTTTTTTCATAGAGTTAAAAATTAAAACCTTTTTTGGTACAAGTGTCTATTTGTGTTCAAATTTTTAAAATGGCGAAAAAAAATCGGCAAATAATTTAAGAATATTTCATAAGAAATTTTAAAATAAACAGAATGAAAATACCTGATTGAGAGCTGCTTAGTTATACTTATTTATAATGCTGGAAGTACACACTCGCCGAGGCGACACGAGACGCGACAAAGGACGGCCCTAACCAATAACAATGCACAAACCGTTCATTTTTTGTCGCGCCTCGGGTCGCCTCGGGGAGTGTGTACATCCAGAATAATACTCGGTTTGAAGTAAAAAATAATTCTAAGTATCTATAACATTTAAATTGAGCGTAATGTACAAAATGTATACTTTTTATACACAAAAAAAGAGGCAATATTCAAAAACAGCTTCCTTGATGTTTATACATGTATAATAGGCGAATATCAAAGATAAAAAAAATAGTCGGACATATTAAAATAAAGAAAAAATAAACAAAATTATGAAACAGCACTGACCGACAAAAACAAAAGTAAAAGATTTTGGCAAAATATTTATCTGTTGTTCTCTCGTTCGGTTAACTCTTGATACCTCGCGTACATCATTTTCTTTACACAGTCTTTATAGGATTCGCCAGCCACAGCAGTATAGCCTGCCAGTTTGTTACCTAGACCTACCGAACTCCCGTACTGTTCAGCCTAAGAAAGAAAACCATTAAATCATTTTTATTTCTAATAATAAATGATTTTTAGAAAGATTGATAAATAATAATTTACCTGTATGATTGTTGTTCTTCCCTGGTTGGACTTTCCCAAACCCTGTCCCTCAGTCCATCCCATTTTCTGCAACAGTCTATTCCCTACATTCTCCGAGCCTATTGGCTCCATCACAGACGTCGGTGTCGCAGGAACTTCGGTATTTAAAGCTTTCAGATACTTTTCCTTCAGTTTACTGGGCTGGGGCTCGTCAGGGTCGCCATATTTCATGCGCCTCTCCTTCGCCCTGTCCCTATAGACAGTTTTCCCAGAAGCGTCTGCCTTTTTTTTCCTTCTCGCCTCGAGGTTTTGCTTGTGCAGTGTGGACATTTTGGCGTGTTTCGTTAGGGCCTCGGCCGATCCTAACTGCCGTTTGCATAGGTTGCAGATAAGTTTGTTAAAATCCAGCAGAGATTCTTCGTCGTCTTCACCTGAAGACTCGCCGCTCTCGCCGTAGGCCGCTACTAAAGGGGGCTTCGGAGCATCCACGGTTTCGGGGATTTCGTTTTTGAACATGGGGGCACTCGTAGGTATAACGGCGGACTTCTTTTCCAGCACTGAAAAGCCAATATCGGCGCTAGCGCTGCTCAGGAACATGGCATTTTCAGACGCACTCTTCATGGAGGAATTGTCTTTTTTCTGATTGAGGGTTTTCGCCCACCGCTCCATGTCCTTGGCTATTTTCTTCGCTACCTTGACCTTGTCCTGTTTCTCGGGTTTGACGTTTTTCTTCTGGTCGTCTTGCGCTGCGTTGACGCTGACATTAGAAGACGGTTGTGGGGAGTTATTTACACTGTCGTAAGACGGGGCCAAAGAGTAAGTGCACTTGTCGTGATCCCAAAATAGATATTTCTGGATGACGCTATTCCAGTAATAAGTTGAGTTAGGGTCGTAATAGAGGCCCGTAGCCGGATCATATTGGTACCCAGTTGATTTGTCGTAAACGTAAGTTGAAATATCTGGTACCGCTAGAGGGAGGAAAAAATCAGGTTAAAACATTTAGGTACAAAAATAAAGGAGTAAAATTGAACTCACGGTATCTTTTTCCATCTGTGCCAGTTGGTATTTGCACATGGGTGTTATCAAAGTACGTTTTGCTGGCGTTCATTTGCTGTATGGCCGATTGGGCAACGGCAGCCGCGGCGTTGGCAGCGTCCATTTGATTCTCGTTGTGCAGAGGATGGAATTCCCCGCGCTTATTTGTTGAGTAAAGTATAACCTATAGTATTCTATATAATGTAAGTATTCATCTGGAGATTTAGCGTAACGCCGTGAAGCGTACTCCGCTAAACTTTCCACGTCTGCCATATCATAGGTTTGGGGAATGGACGCGTTCGGGAAAGCCATATGGTCAGCTTGAGAATAAGCTTTCCTTGTATCACCCATGTTGTATTTACAATACGACAGAATAACTATATAAAAAATATTTCGAAATTAGAGCTGTTAAAGTTCCAGATTTTAAGTTAAAATTACCAGTTTTGCCGTCGATAATCAGAGGAGATTTAGGGCCATTAAGAGCTCCATAAATAGCCAGAGCGTCAATGGTACTTTCGGTTCCTAAATAGCAAATACCTCTTGACGTAGAAGTTAAAGGATCCCTGCCAATACATACTGCAGAAATTGATTTTACCAGTTCTGGAATGACACTGTTTAAAACAGACATTACAGAATCTTCTGTAGTTAAGGCGTCTAAGTTTCTAAGCAGAATTGCTACAAAAATAACCAAAAATAAAAATATTGCTAACACTATTATGCTTGTAATTAGCTATACTTTTAGTTGTGTAATTACAAGTCTCGTCGCTACCGCTGCCGCCTTCTTCGGACTCGGTTCTAGACGCGTGGCATTTGAAACAGTTGTCTCTTCTTTTAAAATTCTGAGCTCCACACTAAAAACGTCTTATAGCAGAAACTGTAATATTAACGTGATATTTGGAAACAAACCTTAATACAAAACCAGTCTGCAGATGCCTTATGGGGGGGAGCTTTCTCTGTAGGATTACTGTCTTTGGGAATGCTGTACTGCATGATAGCGCGGTAATGATCTTGCAACATCAATATGCCCTGAAAAAACATCAGAAATTTTAAGAGCACAGCTATGTAATTCAGCCAAGAGACCTTTTTTCCGTCGCCTAAAAGTTTAACACATAAACAAAGAGAAAACAACAGAACTTTTCAAGGTGAGAAACTGACTTTAATTTCATTGTTAAGAAGGCTGATAGCTAGATGGTCTGCTTCATTGGAAGGCAGATAAATTACTGATATAGAAAAGATATGCATACTTATCAATTGACATTGTAATTAAACAATAAGCTGCGCTGAAAGTTAAGATAGGTACCTGTTTCATCTCCATCCAACGAACTGCTTCATTGAGCGTTGCAAACTCGACAAAGGCGAAACCGTGTGACGCACCTAAACAGCACAATAGATACGAATGGCATTATGCAACCTTTCAATGCGATTTTATTCACAAAACTGTGCCTAAAGACAACCGAAAATTTAAAGCTAAATTAGCTATTATACCTGTATCTTTTTTCCTGATTAATCTTATGTCCTTGGGCATTAAACCTCCCTGTATGATATCTTGGCGAATCTAAAAGAAAGGCAAACATTATTTACATTTACTTAAAACAAAAAAGCTTTATGCAGCCTTACATCATTTTCTGTAATATGTTGGGCAAGTCCTCTAATCATAATGGTGTTATTAGGAGGTTGGCTTTTTGTATCCGATGATTTCAGATCCGCTGGCCCCAATGACAGCACCGCTTTGGACTCTCTCACTGTCAAAAGTATAATACTACTTAATACACAATGTTTACAAGAAACTTTAGAACCATTCCGAATAACCTGTACCTATCACTGTCCCTATCATCTTCACCACGATATCTGTCTTTGTCACGACCTTTTCTATCATCCCTCTCCCATCTTGAGTCATTACTTCTTGATCTTCTTCTAAACCTGTGATGATCTCTATCGCGATCGCGTCCCCTGTGATGTCTTCTCTCCCTGTCTCTTTCTCTATAATCGGGGCTCCTCGACCTGCTTCTTCTATCAAAGTCCCACAAAGGCTCTCTCCTATTATAGTCCCGATCACTGTCGTAATCAGAATCATTTCTGGCAATATGATGGACTGCAAAAGATAATTTATTTATTTTGTATAATTTAAAGAACCAAAGGCTCGTATAAAAATAAACTTACATTTTTTACTGTGATTATTATATCCATTGTGTCTTCTGTGATGGTGGGGGGATTTTGACTTGGAACGTGAATTATTCTTACAAGGCTCTGGAGAAATACTCATATTTCTACATGGCGGTGAATAACGTAACCGCTCCATATTATAGAAATAATTCGAAAGCTAAACCTAGTATGCTAGTAGAATTATTATCCTCAAATATTCGTGCTCATTTACAAAGATGGCGATGAGCCTACAAGTTCGGTTGGATGTGTGATTTAATTCCTACCTTCTAATTTAAGCACCGAATAATTACTATTTTTAATTTTATCAAGTTACACCAAGTATTGCTTTTTAAAATAATTTTACAGCATAGTCTACAGTAAATATCTCAAACAATAAATACAGCACAAAAGCGATTTACCATTAGTTAAACATTGGCCACAGAATACAGAAATCATAGATGAGATGACAGAAATTAACCACAGACCACAGAGACAATTAATTTTGTCATATATTTACCCAAAGAATATATACCTATATCATATATTCTAATGTATATGATCTAGACTTTTCAATTTTTGCTGTATTATTATTATGGAGGTGCCCATTCCTAATAAATTATGGTAATGGTGTGGATCCGGTGGCTGACCTTGAAACGAGTTTTTGCTGTATATAGTCACAGACACTACGCAGGCGCACTTCTTCGATGTTGCCAGATTGCAAGTTATTTTGGAATTATTTTCAGTAGAAAACAAATATGTGCTTTTCAGTGTGTTTTGTCAATATATACAGTATGATCGAATAAACAGCGTCTAGTTGGCTAGGAAATGACGATTGAGGACATTTCCCATATAAAATGACTGCGATCTTCATTTCATAGTCATCGCTGACGCTATTTTTTCAATCATAGTACGCGGTATATTATTTCTATTATTATTTTAATATTTCGCACAACACATGAAACGTGAATGCTTATTATGTATTTTCATAGTCAATAAAATTAAATAGAAATAAAATTCTAGATTCCTATAATTAATCTAATTGCTCTAGATTATAATGCTACGTTTAAAAAGTGCTTTATTCAAAAATTGGGGAAATTAAAAGAGATGTGTCCAAGTTTTTTTTTTTTAATTTTTAAATGCTGTAGCTCCATGTCATGTTCATAATAGTTTTTTTAACATTCCATCAAAACTACGGAGGCCTTAAAAGGCATTTTAGCCTCCGTAATTAAAATTGTAGAATCAGCTTCAGCAACATTTACAGTTACTTTGTTTAATTCTGCTTATACATATATTGCATTATTTTTCTGCTACCTTAAGATTTCTCTATTCTTACACCTAATTATGTGATTTTCTTAGCATAATATGATTTATAGACCATATTTTTCCTAATGGAAGGATGGAATAGGATATGCAAAATTAAGATATTTTAACATTTATTTTCCAGACAAAGCATAATATAGTATTAAGATTAAGACATAACAAATATTATAAGAAAGATCTTAATATAAATCACAAACTAATTACAAACTAATCTTAATTTGGTCTTGTATAAACACAGGTATAAAACTAATAAGATCAAAACTCAACCTTCACCATATTGTCAAGATTTGGCATTATAGCAAACAAGAAATTACAGTAAATTAAGAAAAGAATGTCAAAGTACACGATATTAAATGCTGTAATGTATTCTTACACACAAACCATCTCCCTTCTAAAGAGAAAAAGATAAAACATAAAGCTTATTTTAATCTTATCAACACACTCTTCGATAAAATATATGTCTAAAATTGCTATTAATCCACTAACTTGATATTTTTAAGAAATTATGATACAAACATTATAATCAAAGTATATTATATTAGTAACATTATAGGTAAGATGTTACCTCTATCTCCCATTGACGTGTATTGTTCTATAAGACTCGTCATGGTAGTACCGTATGATCGAAAAAAAACGGCGTCCAGTTGGCTTGGAAATGACGATCCATGCCATTCCCTGTATAATTTTACATATAAAATGACAGCGATCTTCATTTCATAGCCATCGTTGACGCCGTTTTTATTCGATCATACGGTATTTCAAAACATCAATACATATAATCAAAACTATTGTTGCCTGTAAATAACTAGAAATTAAATAACTTGAAAGAAATAAAATAATTCTAATAAGTTTAAAACGATTAAGAAAAAATCCGTACATGATAATTTTTAATTCTAATGTAAATATATAAATAAATGTTATTATTATTACAATTTTATATATTCATAATACTTTCATTTCACAATCTTTATTATCCTTCTTACCTTAATTATGGATATCAAGATAAATCTGAAATTATAAAATTAATTATAGAATTTGTATTATAATTGATTAACACTCAAAAAAAAAAATTTTCAACTGCAAATAATTCGAAAATAAACTGCAATTTGGCAACATCGACCATGTGCGCTTGCGTAGTATCGATGATCAAATGCAGCAAATATGGGCTTCAAGGTCAGCCACCGGATCCACACCTTTATTCCAAATCAAATCTATGGATCAAATCTGACCAAATCTGACAAATCACATAACCCCACTTTTTAAGATAACATAACACATAACCCCACTTTTTTTATTTATTTTTTATTTTGATTGTGTATTAATTAAAAGCTTAGTGTTTTGCGATTAAAATGGATACCGTTGAAGAAGCATCCTGGAAAGAAACATTTTTTAAGGTATATTACATAACCCTGTTACCTAAATTTGTATTATAATTTTGCAAATTATGTAGACGAATTTTAGTGTGGATCAGTCTTTGGCAGATTTTACTCAAAAAACAGATTTAGAGAGTCTAAGGAGATATTTAAAAAGCTATGGAACAGAATTACAGTTGGAGATGTCCGATATATTAAAAAATGAAACTGAAGCTATCGTAAATCTAGCAGAATATCTCACAAATTTAAATTCAAAGATTGACAACTTATCTATTCCTATAAGCCAGTTAAGCGAAGAGATAAAGGTAATTATTATAGTTTATTATAGCCACAAGACACCAATGATTTTTTTTCTGTTAATAATTTGTAAATATTTTTTTATAGAATTTATATGAACTTATAAAATCTGTTGAAGGGAGTTTTGATTCAATGATGAGTGAAATAAAAAACAATAACTTAAAACAAAATCACATACATTTGAAATTAGGAATTGTAAGTTCATGTCTATATGTAAATTTAATATTAGAAGCTGTTGAGAAAGATTTATATAAAAATTTAGACACACTGGAAAGAATTGTTAACAAATTTTCCTTTCAAAAGGTTTATCTATGTGAATTATCACTTCTGACTCCTGAAATTCAACAAATTAGTGCAAATGTAGAAGAAAAGTTAGTTGCAAATATTAATAAGTGTTTACTCAGTGGCTTGAAAGATGAAGACAAAGATATTCTCTTAAAATGTCTAAGAATGTATGTCAATTTACAAAAAGAACAAGAAGCATACAATACTTTTCAGTTAAATATTTTAAGACCTGAACTCCAACCCCTGTTTACTCAAAGATATTTAGAAAGAAGTGGGCAGGATTTGGAAAAGATTTACTCAGAAGTAAGAGCAATTTTACATGGCAAAACAGATTTGTTATCAGAAATTATAAAAGAAAATCCAGAGCTATGTTCCTTTAACTTTATACTAAAATCATTTTGGGTAGAGTTCGATAAGCAGTCAACAGCTGGATTATCATATATTACAGCACCAGGTAATCCTGAATTATTCCAGAAAAGATTTATTAGCACCTTTAAGTTAATAAAATATATTGCTGAAAAAAGTGGTAATAAAGATTTAGTATCCAAGGATGAATCTTTTCAGAACAATCTAAAAAGATTCAATTTACCAGTGTATTTTGAAATTAAGTTTCAGCAGATTGCTGGGAATTTTGAAAGCGAAATTTATAACACTTCACTGAATAATATATATCTTCACAATAATGACCATTTCTGTACACTGAAGCCTTCCTTAGCATTATTTAAAGCAACTCAGTCTTGTTTTCATTCAAATGTTTACATTGACCAGTTAGCAGATCAGTTTATAAAGTTGTCTTTAATGCTTTTATCCAGATACATTAAACTGATTGACCAAGTGAGAGTCAGTATTCCTGTGGAGACTGACAAAGAACAGATTGATAATTTTATAATACACTGTTTGTTTGATTTAAATGCAATTGGAGAGCAACTTGCACCAAGATATAGGGATGTTAGTGATGTTGATAAGACAATATTTTCTATTGTAAATCAAAACATATGGAATATTCTTCCAAAAGTTTTTCAACAAAATGAAAAAGTTATTCTGAGTTATAAGTTAGTTCTAGAAGAATATTTAATTGATACAAAGAATAATGAGTGCAATACACAACTACAGAATGTCACAGCAATTCCAAGACTGTATAGAAGAACTAATAGGAATCCCCCTAAAGAAGCTAGTGCTTATATGGTTAATACTGTAAAACCCATATTGCATTTTTATGATAAATTTAGGCCTAAGTTAGGTCAAGAATTGGATGAAATCTTAAACAAGATTATTATTAAAACCACAGATCAGTGAGTTAATACTTGATATATATGAAAAAAATATTTTTTTAAATATCTATGTTTTTAGTTATCTTTCATTGGTTCAAGAGGTACTTAGCTCTGTGTGCAAAACAGAGGAATCTTTAAGAAGATTAAAAAGTAGAGCTTTAAATAAAACATCAAATGATGAGATGGCACAACATCAAACTGATACTATCACAGATGAAACAAAAATTAGGGAGCAAATAAAATATGATGTTGGATATTTTTGTGATAAGTTTTATCCCTTGGCAATACCATCTACTAGGCAAGCAATGGAGACTTTGAAAAGAGAAGTTTGTAAATGAAATGTAAATTTGTTTATTTTATTATTTAATTAAAAAAATATGACTACTTTCTTTTATTTTTATTAGAAACATTTATTTATTAATATATAACAATTAACAGAACTTATAAAGGAATACACAACTAAATTTTAATATAAAAAAATGTACACAATTTATTCTCTATAATAGTTAATGTTTTCTTCCTATAATAATTAATAGCTTTAACATTATGTGTTATTATAATGAGCTATAACTACAATGAGTAGAATTGAGTTGCTGTTGAAGATTGTAATTCTATCTGGCCCATTTTGAATTGAAGTCTTTGTAACCATTTCAGTAACATTGGATTATTTAAGTGACTTAGCTTTGTTTTCTCATTTGAAATTTCCTGGTAAATTGTTGGTGGAAAGTTGCGACAGTTTTGAAGCCTTACTTGTAAGTGTCCTGGTAACTGAAACGTTAGAAATTATGGAAGCAAATTTATATATAGTTTAACTAAGCATTAAACTTTACTTGGACCTGACTTGATAGCAATACAGGTGTCCAGAGCGGCAACAGTTTCGCTACAAAAGTTGACTGGCATTCTATAAGGGCTTCCAACATACTCAGAAAATGTAAGCTTACAATTTCACTCAACTAAAAAAGAAATGTGCAAGTATATTTTTTATCAAATGGGTTTAAAAAGTTATACTACTCACTGTTTTTGAATGCTGGACAAGCTGTAATATGCATGGTGTAACTTTGCTCCAAAAGTCAAAAAGAATATTCATAGTTACGTTGTAAGCTTCTGTAATTGGTATATGATGGTTCAAACTCTGTTCCAAGTAGACTGTCCAAAGCTGACAAAGAATAAATGCGTGAAATAAAGATGACATGTGTAAAACGCTGGCTTTCGGTTGTTCGGCAAAACCTGACATGATTACTTGAATATTATCAGCTATCTGACAGGATGCCTCGTGAGGAATAGGCTGACTTAACATCGCTATGCTGTTTCTACCTTGCAACGCTGTATGCGTTAATGATCCCAGTAGTAGCCATGATAAAAGTCTTATGTGGCCTATGCATTCGACGAATTCTCTTGGGCTAAGATATTTTATTAGTTTTACAATTCAGTTAGAGTTCTTGAAAAAAATTACCTCTGTTGAGATGCGGAAGTACTATACAGCCAAGGGAAATACCTTGTAACAGCTCTATTATCCCTTCCATTACCCTTGGTTATTTCTAAAGCTAAGTATTGAGCAACACTACATTTTATAATCCCTCCAAGGGTGTCATCATTTAAACCAACGCCAATTCCTTTACAGTAACTCTACAAAACACGAAATTTAGATAGACTTTTTTATTATTAAATGCACTTACTTTCATTTTTGATATTGTATGAAAATCTGATAAAAATTCTAGAATATCTACAAGGTTTAATTTCATACATTCCGATATGCCAGTATTACAAGCTGGTGAATAATCAAAAGAAAATAAAATACTATCTTTTATTACGACATTTGATGGGATATGACCCCCTACATCCTAAAAGTAAAGGTAATATCAATGGAATATCACAGAATAATTTTTATTTAATAGTCACCTGTAAAACTAAGTTAATTAACATTAGCAAATTAGAGTCTGGTATCGTTGTTTTGAATTTTAAGACTTGAACCAACTCAAACACGACCATCCTACTAAAAATTAACTTATCTCTATCTTTCGTAAACGCTTTGTTACACAAATAACAAATTTCAACTAACAAATTGTACTTTAGCGTGTGCGTTTGAATTGCATAGCTTAAAACTTTCGAGAAAGGTTCCAAAATACCCTAAAATATATTAAGCAGTATAGTAATTTTGTTTTGATAAATAAAATAATTATTCTACCTTAAATTGCGTTATCAAAGGCATCTTGAAGACCGATGCCATAATATTTAAGAGAGGAGCAACATCGTCTAGGGCGTTCAACAAGAATAATAATTTTCTATAAAGGATTTCTAATTGTTGTAACACAGTGCTCCACATAGGTGTTGTTGGTCCTATAGCAGCTTCCAAAGGAAGACAATTCAGATAAGATGCCATGTTTGATAATATTGTAGGCATTAAATCTACTGGCAAAGTTTTTTTTGAATTTAGATTTTCCAAAAGTAGCTGTAATGGTGCTATTGGGTTTAACTCGTTAAAATCTACAAGCGCCTGGATGACACTCTTAAAAAATTGCAGTCTTATATGTTCTGAAAAAAAACTTTTTTATTTGGATCCGCGAATCTAATAGAGAAGCTGAAAACCTTACCTGATGCTTTAGTCTGAAACATTTGCATAAAAATTCCGTTGGGAGCAAGTTGATGTAGGACACATCTTAAAAACTGATGAGCTACACTAACAGCACCACCTGGAAGGTGGATGCTGCTTTCACATTGCCAGGGATATGACGCATTTGTGGCTATCCTGCAATCAAGAGAATGTTAGATTTTTTTAGTGTAAAATACGTTACGGGTACTTTGCAACTATGCTTAAAATATCTGGCAATAACGGAGCTGCAAGGCTTGGCTCTCTGTGAATAAAAGTTCCTAACGCAACGATACATAATCCCATTTCTTCATCGCTGTATGTTTCTCGAACTGTGCCACACTCTGAACATCTTTCCTTTACGCATTCTTCTCCTATCCTGAACGAACTTTGTTTGGTGTCGAATGTAGCTGAAATTTAACACATTTTAACATCTGTATATATTTGAGATGGGTTAATCCAACTTTCTGTTTTTGGTGAGGCTAACTGAGAGTTCAGTAACCAAGCACCCGGTATTTTGGGCTTCTGTTGGTGCGAGTTCGTGTTAAAGGTTCCAGGTTTTCGTATTCTTTGCCTGTGGTTAACAATCGCATCTCCTAAAATAAATTTGAGAGATGTATTTTTTTTTAAAAGAAGTGAGAAGGGGGGAATTAATACTTGTGCTGTCGACTTTGATGCTTTTCAAGTAATTTTCGAACCCGTTTCCGTTATCGTCACTCTCATATAAATTCGGTGGACTTTCCAAGGCAACTTGTTTAATCAACTTCCTTGGACTGTGTGTTTGGGATGTGCTTGGTTGCTCAGACTTTTTTTCAGATTGCTCATTTTTTCTGGTTATTTTTCCCAACTGTGTATTTATATTTAGGGCCTGTTTTACCTTTTCCACTAGCTGGGAGATATCTTTGGTATGAGACCCAATGGGCAACAGTCTTTCTTGAGTTGGTATTTGTAGCTGAGGTTCCAGTGGCGAAAAAACTTCATCTAATTCTGTACAAAAAGACAGAAATAATACAGGGGCATTAAAAATACTAAGTGATATCTACCTGGGGATTTAATTGGTCCAATGGGTAGAAGCCTTTCCATGGCTGGCGTTGGTAAATTATTTCTGTTACTGTCACAGTCCAGAACAGGTGTGCAGACTGGTGTTATGCTTGGTTCAATAACTTTTTTATGTCTGCCCATGGGCGTTGATTTTGATACGTGTACTGCGTTGAAAGCATTTAGTTGTCTGTGGGGCAAAGCGGCAACCGATTTCCCTGTATGGACGCTTGAACCTACCAAACATAATATTATTTTCTCTCTACGATTTTTGTTTCTACGAATTAAGTACAGGAAAAACTACCATTAGTTAAATTTACGGATGCGCTACTTGAGGTAGATTTAGTTCTAGCACAGTTCTTGTTAAAATCCATCTTCGCTTTGGCTATATCTTGCATTTTATTGTCACATGACCGTATTGAGTCTTCTTCGCTGCCGATGATCCACACCGGTCGGGATTTATTCGAACAAATCTTCTTCATCTCTATTAAACTAGATACACTCTCTTTAGGAGAACGATTTACTAAAGCTTTTTCAGTTAACTGTTTACTTATTCCTGGTCCAGAATTATCACTTAATGCTGAAAAAAATTAAGTAGGTAGCTTAAAGAAATGTTTGATGAGAAATATACAACCTTCTTCGAACGAATCTTGGACGCTGCCTTGCAACGTGCTATCGGATATGTCACTTTCAGGTATTGCTTTTAATTCACTTTCCGTATCGTCATCCAAACTAATTTTATCTGTGAGCTGTTTTTTGAAACTTTTCTCCCACCTCTTGTCTGGATAATTCTCATTCTGATTAGTTTCTTCCCAGTAGGTTTCCATGCTGGTGATCGACGAAGGTTTTGTGTAGGAAACCTGAACTTTACCGCCTTTTGAACTTAGGGATACCTGTATAGATTGACCATCGGACGAATACATTGGTGATAAGGGCGGAGTAGTGCGTTCTGGGTGGTCAATTTCTGTACCCAAAGACGGTTGACTTACATCTAAAAATGTTTTTAGAAAGGCATTGAAGAAGACTCAAAAAGACATTTCGTATGTACCTCTAGATCTAGAAGGCTGCTGCCCCATTATAATCGTAGCAGGTATTCTTCTACAATGATGATGTTGCGAATCTAAAGTATTGAGTACAATTCTGATCAAGGCTGTTAGTTGCATACAATGCGGCTGTTGATTATATTGATACTGTAAAAACCCAGTCATAATTTCGTAATATAAATCAAATTTTTAGATCTTTATACCTTATACAAGAGAACAACCAGTGACATGAGCCAGTGTTTTCTAGTATGGGGCTCCAAAGCCCATAAGCTGTATAAGGGTTGTTGAAAGTCCATCGCACTGGGTATGTAATATGGAGATGGGGCGTATTGTAAAATAATTAAACACGTTGGCAGCAGAATTCTTCCCATAAGATGATTCTGATCCATCAGTTGGGGTAGGTTTACCAGAAAAACATTAAATGCTGGAGATGCTCGCAAACTCTGTGGTGGAAGATATATGCCTCTATCGGTCTGGCTGTAACCTAAGCAAACAAATTTTTTGTTTGTTTTGGTTTGGTTTGGCTCCGAACCAACCAGTACATACCTAAAAGTAACCATAAATGTTTCAGTACGATTGTTTGGGTCCTCGCCAAGTTCTTTTCTTCTGCCGGATAAGCTTGGTCAGATCTTGATAAAAACTGCATCAGAAGGAAGATTAGGAGATGGATTGTTTCCTTATCAGCCTCTTCTAGGTCAATTATTTTTTGGAGAAATGTTGTTAAGTTGTGGTCATCCACAACGTTTAATGAGTGCATATGTCCATCTGTATGCGATTAAAAATTAAATTAGTATATGTGGTTAAAATTATATATTATTGGATCGTGTTACGAATGAGTCAGCCAACGTGATTTTTTGTTAAACTAATTTATCATGCGCTTATCATGCATTAATAAGTAATAAAATCATTTTAAGAATTCTTTCAGTGAATATTTAGAAAGAATCTGAATGTATTACACTAAAGACGAAATAAATACTCAGGGTATTAATGGTTATTGCTGCTCTCTGCCGATGATACGATTCTTTAGCAACATTTTTCTTCTGCAAAAGGCATCTAAAAATATATCAGGCTGAGACTTACATATATTGGTTATTATTTGACAATCATGCGGCCACTAAGCAAGACACTATTCTATTTTCTACCTGGAATGCTGTTACTAGTGCCTAGAAACTGACCAAGTCCAAAGCGCGAACTTTTTCTTTTCAAAATCGGCGCTGAGTACTGACGACTGTACACCTTCTCTTTTGTCTCTGGAACATACACTAACAAAAAAGGAACTTGTTTCAGAAATACATGGACCAAAATCTTCGGTTTCATAAATACATAAAATGTTTTGTTGAGCCAATCTAAGTAAATTTGCTCACCGGACTTGCTCTCTTGGTGTCTTATAATGGAGGCAGGTGCTGACATTGTACGTTTATAAGGCCATTTTGTTCCAAAACTAGCGCTGAGCGTTTTTACTGAACTTGCTATGCTGCCTTCATTTAGACCTGACAATGCATCATGTGCTCGATGTAGCTTCCTAATAAAAGTTTCGCTATTTACGTCCGTATTTTTCAGATCTAAAAATTATTTTCTTTCGAGTGATCATTTTTAAAACAGGACATAAATATAGTACCTCTTACGTAACTGATATCACCAGCCTTTTCTAAGGCAATTTGAGCTTCAATAAATAAAGTGTCGAATCGGTTGAGAAAAAAATCCCAGTTTAAAATCTTTCGCTCGCTTAAAGAATTGTGAAGTTGATAAATAGATTGTAAAACCATAGGTCTGTCAAGGATGACAGCGTCAAATTGTGTTTCCAGACACATTATTAGGGACTACAAAGATTGTTGCATTTTTATTAGAATTTTGATATAAAGTTAGTGGTATTATTATGCCTTACTCTAATTGCAAAATCGTGAATTGTTCCCAAATATAAAGTAGCTCTTTGGGCAACGTATACGTTTGGATCGTCCATGCTAGAAATTAAATAACAAAAAGCATTTGCCAGAGCTGCTTGGAGTTGCATTTGATTCCTTAACGGACAGTCCGCCATAAATCTAGCTAAGACAGTCACCCTCTCAACTGCTCTGAATCTTACTCTCCAATCTTGGTTGTGGAAATCTTCTTGAATTATTCTCCAAAAGACATCTAGACCTGCTGACAGGGTGATACAGTGAAGAAGCAAAGGCACTGCTTCTTGGCAAATGTGTGAATGGTCAGAATTTAATAAATTCCATATACTAGCAAGAAAAAGAATGTTACCGTTGGCAAAAATTATTTTAAGATCAAATTTTACTTTTTAATGATGAGGTGTTCTTGACACCAAATGAAAAATCCTTTGTTTTCTTTTGATGCTTTGGTACAGGCATCCCCATAAAGAATCAGGACATTGAGGCACTTGAGCATGTAATAGAGAATGTCTGGTTTGGAGACTTTTGAAATTTCTATGAGAACTTGATGTATGTACTGAATTGGTTCGGGTAATTCGTCTATAGAAAACCTAAATTTTCCAACTGAAGTCTGCCAGAAATCTATGTCGTCGGAGTCTGTATCAGCTTGCTCGTTGTTCTCGCCTGTAACTGAGCCTTGGGATTTTGCTACCGAAGAAGCAGCATTAGATAAATAGAGTATGGGTGAAACAGAATTACTTATAATTCATTGCTATTACTATATTATGATCTCTATTGCATAGCGGCATTAAAAACGTTATATATATGATAAAGAGGGATTTGAATGATGATAGATGATCGATGATCATATATACCTATATCTGTGTCTGAGAGAGTTATTGCCCTTGTTACTGCCGAAACAGCTTTCTCAGCTGGTATAATAGAGGCTATATCGAGTTGTTCAGAGACAGTTTCAACCGTGGCGGTCATGATCTGAAAAAAGTCCGAATTATATACAGAATCGCGTGAGTTTGGCCAGTTATATAGCTCAAACCAAGATAGGACTAAGCTGTACCCAATAGGGTAAGGATTTAAGGTGGTGTTGGCCTTGGTTTGAGTTATGCTGTAATATTCGTACAGAACACACGTGCGGCATGTGAACTAGAGCGCCTCCCACCGAGTGGACCTCCGGAATGGGCATGTTCAACACTACTTCGCTGGACTTCTCCTTTTTGTCGCTCTCCGGTGGGCTTTTCCTACTATGCACGTCATCGGAATCGCTGTCGCAAGGGGGCTGTAACAGAAATTGTACAAAATTGTTTGCTGTATAGGAATAGTCTTCGAGCTTACGTCAGGTGGGTGTGCTAAAGTAACTGGCGATAAATAGATAACAAGCTCATAGGCCAGCTGATGCCACATAATGCTGCATTCGCAGTAGGTGCATTCTGTTTGAGTTGAGCACGCGTGCGAGCTAATCCAGGCAGCTGTAATCATGCTTTTTAACAGAGAACACACGTTTTTGCATAGAGAAGAATTTAAACCGGTGTGTTTATCGATCTCCTGCAATTCCATTTGCTTTAAAAGAATATCCAGCATAAGTATGCAACAAGACAAGTTATTTTCTGACTCTGGCTTTTTTTCTGACTGAGGCATATTTATTCCATTTGCTTCCTCCAAAGTGGATGTTTTGGCTGAATCGTCACACTTATTATCTTCTTTTGCTGTAATTTATTCTTAATGGTCAGCGGGAATAAAATAAATCAAATCTCTTACTTAAGGAGTCCATTTTATTTTCAGCGTTTGCTGGCTGAAGTTCTGGAGGTTTTTCAATAGAATTTTTAGCTGAATCGTCACACTGAGTTTCTTCTGTTGCTATAATTAATTCTTAATGGTCAGCGAGAATAAAATAAAACAAATCTCTTACTTAAGGAGTCCCTTTTATTTTCAGCGTTTACTAGCTGAAGTTCTTGAGGTTGTTCAATAGGAACTGTATCTCCATGGTTAGCCCCTTCTTTCATACTGGTCACTCCATCGCCAAAAATAGAAAACAGAAGATGTAGCGGAGTGGAAATTTCCAGCAATGTTAACGTCTGAAAAAACATAATGTTTTGAGAGCATGTCTCGAATTAAGACACAAAAATATCCCGATTCATACTTGAAGCCATTTGAGAGCTTGCTGTTGGACTTTTGCGCTGGTTTGCTGGAATCTTATGGCTACGAAATGGTACATTTTCTTGGAATCGAAGCCCAAAGGGCTCATATCCGCGTCGAGGATCTTGCTCAGGACTATTTTTAGCTCGGGAAGTTCTTTTTCTGGCACGCCATCCACAGTGGCCTCCATCCAGTGCGGCATAATGAAGTCCCATATTTCCTGCGTTATTACATCATAAGGCACGAGACAGAACAAGCGGTCCAGACCTTCCTTTAAATGTGTCGTTTTCGTTGCTAACGTGTCCCTGTAATAAAAAACAAATGAATTTAAGCAGTTTCTAGAGTATAGAGATATAAGAATATATCATAGAGTTTGAAAAATCATTGGGTAACGAAAATTTGATAGTATGAATATTTTTAGCATTATTTATTACCAATGGCCTCCGATTCTCGCATAGTCTGGTGGATGTGGTAAAAGGCACGATACAAAAAGGTTGTAGTGAGATTTACTGATTTCTTTTAACCATCCGCAAACATCTACCGTTTTTAGTTTTTCTAAAGCGCTTTCTTCTCTACCTAAAAATATAATTCAATTTGTATCAGCATTATATCAGCATTATTTTATTGATAAAATTTTATCGGCATTATTTTATTGATAAAAATATGTTATATATGGGTAAGTAATACCGTCATACGAGTAGGCTGTCATATGAAACCAATGGAAGATCATGGCTAAAAGTCGGCCTAAAACTTCAATTTGTGTATTATCATCCGGACTACACCTTCCTACGAGCAACCAAACACCGTATCTGCCTAAAAGCTGCCTTTCTTCTACACTAATATTGTCTAATGCGGGAATAGGACTTTTTCCTTCCTTGTCTTTACATTCTTTTGATTCCTTTTTATCACTTTTTTCGTCTAGATCTCTTCTATCAATATCCTTCAACTCATCTTCTGGTATTCGAGCTTCAGTCAGTAAACTACGACAAGAAGCAGAATTTTATCAGGTGAAAACATTTCCCTTAATTAGTCTTTACCTAACAATTGCTTCTACCATGCACGTTTGCATTTCAGGGTCCATCTCCCAAGTTGGAGGTATAGCTTTATGGACAATGTGGTCTCCTCCTCTTCTAGAATTGTGCCGGTTATTATGGCACTGTTCACAATACCTTATTGGGTGGTTACCGTTATATGAGGCACATTCGGTTCCAAAACATATAGATATTGCTGATTTATCGGTCGATCTGCAGTTCTACAATTTATTTTCAAAGCGAGTTTAAGAAAGAATTTGGCCTTAAGCGACAATTAAGGCAAACCTTATTTTCGCAGACCATAGAAACTTGTTGCATTGGATGTAGAACATCGAAGAAACTCTGGTTGGGATGTTCTCGATGAATTTCGTTAGCGCACTCAATACAAAGATATAAAGGAGGTGGAATATCCGTGGAGAACTTAATAGCTATACAGTGATCGTAACAAACTTTAGCTGCTTCGGCATTTCCTGAATTTGGACACTTATTCCTCTGGCAAACAAAAGGTGTAGGATCTAAAAAATCAATCTTTAATACCTCTTGGCTACATTCAAGGATTCCTATCAGACCAGCAAATTTACAAATTAAATTTTTCCTGTCGAACAAGTTGGCGTTGAAAGTTGGCCAATAGTAAAATAAAAGTTTAGCTGCCGATGCTCGTGAATTGGATGTTCCATAAGCAATGGCGCTCAGCATATCCTTCAGAATATTCTGCTTTAACGTCATGAGGCACTCTAGAAGTTGACAGTGGTGAGCTGGGTTGGTGGAATACTGGAAAATCATCATTATAACCGAAGAAACCGACTGACAAATGTCCGGTTGTTTTGGATCATGCCGGGCTAAAATATTTTTATTTTTTCATTTTTTTATTGGATCGAACTAAAATTCATCTTACTTATCGTGAAAGGAAGAATGTAATAACATAAAGTGTTGATGATTTCTTGATGTAAACTAGGAGGCAAAACAGCGATAGTTGATGCAGTTAAATATGGTAAATTATCAATCAAATCATGCTCTAAAAAGGGAAGAAGGCACCCCAGACATTGCAACAACGCTTGTCCAAACGCTTGAAAATTAAAATCATATATGAGTAAATAGTTTTAATTTATTTTCGTTCAGTTTTTATTACCATGGAGCCCATTGGTTATGAGGGGTGCTACTTCAATTAAAGGTATAATGGAATTATAAAGACCTTTGTAATCCAAGCTTGGAAAAAGTCCCATACGGACTCCATCCATTTCTGTATCTTTCAGAAGGTCGAAGGGAGAATTTTTAACATCTTTGAGAACACCTAGAAAGGAATTTCGTATGGTAGAATCTTTAGAATTCAAATTTCTCTCGGCCCTAAACACCGGTACGTACTTAAAAGGGTTTGAGAGAAGTATTTTATTGTGTTTGCTATGTCAACTCCAGAAGGTAGAGGCAAAATACCCTGCATAAGTCGTAGTTGGTAGTCATAGAGGTTGCGGATTTTAGCTGTAACTAATTAAGAAATTAATTCCATCAAAACGCCTAAATCTACCATAGGTCTAAACATTAAAAAGCGATTTACGTTTAAGAGGGTTTCGAAGAGTTTTAAAATAAAGTTTAATCTCTTCTATACCCAACAATTTTCTTTTACTAAACTTTATAATAAAATATCTTCTTTTTGTTTATATTAGAGGAAAAAAGCTTTTTATAATTTCTACGTATTAATACATCCTATAAACTGTAGACAAAGAAAAATAGTTTTGGAACCATAAAATAAATATATCTAGACAAATAAACAGGGCGCGTACAATGATAAGAACGAAAGAAAGTGATATAAAATGATTAATGTTATTATATCGGCTGAATTTATTAGCACTTGATTGGAATAGAAGCATTTTATGTGTTAAGACAAAGATAAACAGCTAGTCTACCTAAATGATATTTTATTGTTTTTTTTTACTGATAATACATTGCTATGCAGATATCTAATTGTATTTTGATTTAGTTATTCCAATAATTATTTATAATTTTTTTTACACACAACTTAAATTCATCTATATTTAAATTTTACAATGCAATAAATATAATGCGGCGTATGATAACTTAGTTAAGATATTTGCACCGCATTGTATTTCTGGATGATAAAGGATAATTGCAAAATTACATCTAACAACACAGAGGGCTTTTACTGGCATGATAGAATTGAAAATAAAAGATATTTCGTAACATTTTCAATCAAATCGCGTGTTTATATCATAGACTTAAAACAACAAAAAGGTGGAAAAAATTGCAACATCGCACTATATCTGTGGCGGCAACAGAAACTTCGTATCATAGGCGAGTATTTTTTGCCTTTAAGGGGAACAAAACCCTTAAGATCTATAAATTATCTAATTTTTAGTGCACTTTATTTCTTTTAGTTTGTTATCCTCATGTATTCAGCTTGGAAGAAAGTTGAGTGAAAATCTGAAACCGGTAGTGCAGTGTCTAGAATTTATTTAATTTTGAGTCTATGAAGCAAACTGTTGGTTAAGTTTAGTTCTAAATAAAGAAAACAAACAAAAACGAATATACTGTTGACTTGAAATGTACCTAGTCTGCTTGGTTTATTTGTGAGAAGGAATAAGCAAAGAGCTTTAAAAGACTAAGTACATTTAAGTCGTAAGTAAGAGAGGAAGGAAAAAGTTGCTTACATGCAGCAGCTCTTGTACCCATGTTGACAATGCAGTCACAATAATCAAAGGCTAGGGAAACACTCAGGTCACATTGTTTAAAACGTGCAGGTATCTTCAACATGAGGGCAGCGGGAACTTGACTTATCCCATAACAGATCAATAGTGTTGAAAATTAAAGAGTAATCGAAAGAATCTACAAGAATAGAGGGAACAAAACACGTGTACGAGGCTCATCGGCATCGCCGAAAAGATCGATACGATAAAGTTGAGCATCTTGGACCACACTCCCGCTTTTTTGTTTCTATCTATAAATCATCTAAAAACACTTACATCGAATGTTCGGAAACGTGTGGTAATTCCGACGTTGGCCCATAATTTTGACAAACCCAATCCGGTCAACTCAATCAAAACGAAAACGCATCATCGATCGCTCGTCAGGCTCCTCTAAGTTGCGCTAAAACCCGCAAAAATCTCGCGATTTTTCGCACCGAACATTTAAACATCTAACGTTGCACTACAGAACATCAACCCCAAATATAGCCAAATGGTACAACAATACATTTAGTTGAAATATGGGACACTGTTTCCTATCAACAACAACCAGGTGAAACAACAATTATGTGCAGCAAAGAACATCAAACTTTAAATTCACTTACAGCAAGCGATTATGAATACTGAAAAAATTTTGACAGATTTTTCACTTGACTCGTTTACGTAAAAAATTGGGAAGGTTGAATTTTTGTTTTCAAACAAACCAGGACAGAACGGTCTGAATGTTTGGGGATAACGTGCCACAGTGCGCATGCATCCCCAACGCCTTGGGCTGGATCTCGTCATCTCTCTCCCCTATTTCAACCAGATTCCTGCATTCTGGTCCAGTTTCTCCCTCATAATCAATAGTTTCACTTTGTCTAAGTTTGCACCTCTTACTTCCAAACCTGCGTGCTTTTAGCCAAAATGAAAAACAGTAAGCATTGTCACAATTTATTTATTTACATTTATACTATTAAATAATACCGTATACAATATTTCCCTTCCAAACAATTAATTTCATACGTATCATTTTCTCACCTTTCAACCCTTTTTAACCACAAGTATCAAAAGAACCCCAATTTATACCGCACGAAAGGCATTAGACTGAAATCTCGCCCGAAGCTATCCGATGTTATTCGCCAAAAATAATTAAAGGGCGCTATATTTGTTTGATCTTTTCCAAATTAAGTATCAGTTTACCACCTCTGTTAATTATTAAGCTCTTTATATTACTTTCAACATGAATGAAAGCTACGGTAAATAACATTTTTATTATCCTTTTTTTATATAGCAGAAGTAAATCGGGAACAATTCGTTCCATCGTCTGTCATAGAAGAGACTACAGAATCGGTTGATGAATTGAGACAGAGACTAGACAGAATGAAGAAGCTGATGTCTGACAGAAACCCTAATCTTGATGGGAGCTCACAGAGACGAAACAACGGACCTGGTGTTATAGATGGAAATTTTCTTAGTGTTATGTTTGGTGTAGCTTTAGCCGTTATAGTGTCCGTTAGCGCTTATGCATTTTATAATCTGTTCGTTGCTATTTTAAGAAGAAACGCTAGGTATCACGAAGAACTTTAAAAAAATTACATTTATTTAGAAATTAAGACAGTTTTATGTATATATACGGAATTATCAAGACAGTTTTTTTTTAATTTCTCAATAAAAATAAATAAATAAAGGTTGTGTTTTGTGTTCTGGTTAAATAAAATCCTTTCCAAACCTTTCTCGGACTTTAACCACTGATGGGCAGGATTTGCTGCTATCGTTGGAAAATAGTGGGGGCATGTTTTAAATGCGAGAACTTCCATATCTGCACTTAGTTTAACACCTTCAGTTAAAGAATTAAATATTAAATAAAAAAAAATCACCAAAATGATCTATGATCGTGAGAAAAAAACATTTTGTGGCAAAAATTCGGTAAGTAAGTTTTAAAACTATCATAAAATTAGTTATATTTAAAGTGCTATTTTATTATTTCTTTATTAAAGATATTAAGTATTTTTATTATTATTTCTCATTAAAATTTAGATAATTGATTGTTTTTTTAAGTATCTATAATATTAGTAATGGTAAAAAAAGTCTACTTGTTATAAGATAATTATTTTAATTAAATCCATATCTTAATTAACTACACTGACCGGAACGAAAATTGCACCCCTAGAAATTTTCATATATTTTAAAATTTAATATATTTTATTCTAGTGAGCTGATTTTCATGATTTTTTAAGCAACTTATAGCTAAATTATTATTAAAATTAAATTCCCCATTTGTCTATTAAACAAGGAAAAACAGTATGTTGTTATTTTAGCGAAAATTTGAAACACCCTGTAAAATGGTTTAACAAAGTAGGGATTTTAAGGACCAGTTTATCATTAGGTTAATCTTTTCGATCTCGATAGTTTGTATTTGGTTCATCTCAATAGCTTTAATTTTATTAAAGATATTCGCTTTTGAAGAAGACAGCCAGTTTAGCATTAAATAGCCACCAAATGGACTTAAAACCTAAACAGCCAACCATAGATATGTACATATATCCATAGAATACGTTTATGCATCTGCATATTCTATGGATATACAGGGTCCGACAATAGTGCGTCGGGCATCTATTTGTAGCTCCTAGAATAAAAAAACTTGTGAATTTTGTTAAAGTGTAAACCTAAAGTAAGTACTAGAATGTTATTTTAGGAAAATATTTTACTCTCTATAGAGTGGCTCAAAAAAGTGCGAGTGGATCGGGATATGATTCTTTTTAAATGGAACACCCATTTCAGATCACTTTACTTAATCTTAAGATGAATTCAAAGATATTAATAAATATATAAAAAAAATAGTATTTTTTCTTACTTTTTGATATATTTTCGTTTATTGAAAAAAATATAACAATTTCAGCTCGTTTGTCTGACAAAAACCACCTCAAAGTAATGGTGTAGAGGGGTAAAACTACTATCATGCGATGATTTTTACGCCCCTGAAGCCGGCGACACTTCAATTAAGTCGATAGTCTCATCCGTTTTCAATTTATTCCAAAAATAATATTAATAACAAGAAACACCTATAAGTAATGGCTCTAGATGGTTAAAACAAAGTTAAAACTACTGTCATTGAGTCGATAGTACCATCAGTTCCCGATTTATTCTAAAAAACTAAACCCAATACTACCGCGAAAATAAGGGCGAGAGAACGATGAAACTAGTGATATTCGCTGTCTTTTGCACGTCTGAATCCAATAACATATTAAGTCGATAGACCTATCCATTTAAGATTTATTCTCAAAAATACATTATAAACATATACTAGATACTATATACTTAATAAAATCACATGACGTCATCCAAAACTCGGCCGATTTTTTATTCACTTTTTTCAATTCACCTTTTAAAGTGGTTAAAGATATAAAATTTTGCATTGATGGTAATAAGTACTTATTTATGTATCATTTATCTTTAGTTTAATGTAAATAGTATTGATTATATTATTTGTTTATAACATTTATATTAAAAAAAACTTTTAGGAAGACATTAGCGAAACGGGCAATTTTTCGATAACAGATTTTTGGTGTTTTAAGACTAGTAAACTTAAGGCGCGTACACATCTGGCGAACGCATGTGGCCGAAGCCATTCGACCGATTCATTCGATGTTTTCGTCGTTCGATGGAAAATTTGCTCTGCCGTCCACATTACGGTGAACGAATTCGTTTGCTGTCATTCGTTCAGTTTCGCGGGTATTTTTGGAGCGCGAACTTTTGTTGTAAGTGGTAAATATGGCGTCCCGGGCGTCCGATGAGGATATAATTATTGCAAGCGCATTGTATATTATTATTAGTGAGGCGGATATTAAATCGCGACGACGCCGTTCGACACTTTAACTGGAATCGTACACACTAAACACAGCCAAACGAATTTGTTCTTTAATTTTCTTTTGATGTACCGCCCAGTGAGCGAACTCTCGCGAATGCAAACACATGCGTTCGCTGCCGTTTGTTGGGCCGTACACATTTACCGAAGGCGTTCGGTCGTACGGCTTCGGCCACATGTGTTCGCCAGATGTGTACGCGGCTTTAGAAAATACACTCAGTTATGTCATGTATTTGTACAATTATAAAATATTTAGATCAATTAACATATTTAATATGTTATAAACATGTAGTAAGTGCTCGGAAAAGTGTCTGATGCAGAAAAGTGTACTGTTTCAGGAGAGAGACACCTCAATTTTGCAGGGGTTCAAATAAATTGATTTAAAAGTTTTTATAATTTTATACCTATCTATGTTTACTATTTTACTGAGCACCTTCAAACGTTTATTAAACCATAAACAAAAATCGTGCTTCTAATAATATTACTTGTTACAATCACAATCATAGAATCTTAGTTTAAAGAAATTAATAAATGGATAATTTTTAACGCAAATAATCATAGAAACTCGTGATTTTATTCAGGATCTTGGTAAAACTATTCTTATTAACCAATTAAAAGACGTAGAATCAGTTATTAATGGTTGCTTAAGTACTACGCGTAGAATACTAAAATAATTTCAGTTTCTAATAACGCTTTATGTCTATATAATGCTATCTCTTCTATCTATAATACTTTTTGAGAAAATGGTGAATAAAGTTGCCTTCACCAGTTTCTAAAAAAGTATGGTTTAATTTGAAATATTGTGGAGTTTTGAGAAACTGGTGAAGGCAAAATATTCACCATTTTTTCAAAAAGGATTACTAGTGAGGCAACCAGTAAAACACTTATTATTATAATATATTAACAAATATGTGATATTAATTAATTTATATTTTTTAATCAAAAACTAATAAAAAGCCCTTACATATACAGAAATAAATTAAATAAAATACAATAGGTTTATTAGTGACTTTATTTTCAAATTTTTAACAAACAAATAATTACTAATTAACATCTCTTTTGTGGGACTTAAATATTTCAAGAACTATATAGTAAAAATGTATATGTTACGGTTAAGGTCCGATGTCCAGTTTATGTATAGTACAGGGTGTTCCATTTATGGAATGAAAATGCCTGAAAGTTCTGTGAAAACCGCATCTTTTTATCTCTACTCATAATCAAGAAACCCCATAAAACAAACGAAAATAGGACGCCCTGTACACTAAATTTATTTTAAATGGTTTAAAGTGGTCTAAAGTCATACCCGTAGTAATAAATGGTGTTATCTTTAACGATTTGACCTGGTTGGACATCTTTTACCCTTAATAACTTTTTTAAGAAAAAAGAATCTAAAAAAAATTATAGGTCATTCGATAGAGAATTAAATTCTCTATCTATATAACGAACATTTTAGCTCAATCGAAGATAATAATTTAATCTTTCGACTCATTTATAGCAAAAGGGGCGGCTAAATTTTGACAAAAAATCTCCGACTGAAATTTTACAGAAAGAGAATTTAATTCCGTACCGAATGGGAATACAAATTTTAGGTATTTTTTCTTAATTTTTGAGATATTTACGTTTTTAAAAAAATTCTAACTCTTCGATCTCGTAGGTCATGTATTTTATATTAATTAATATAGGTTAATATTTTAATGAAATCACAGACAACTACTTAAATGAGTTTGTGATAAAATGCAATTTTAAAAAAAAAATTTCCTTCACCATTTTGACAAGAAGGTCAGAATTATTTTTGACTAAAATCTGAGGGTACTATTGTACTTTAAAGCCTTTTTCATGCTTGACTCGGTTTTAGACCGACTGAATTTACTTTGATTTTTGAAAAACTATATTGTTCAGGTATTTCAGGCTTTGCAATTTTTTTTAATTATATAGGCTTAATATTTTTTGATATAGGGTGGAAAATAAAATACATTCGTAGATATACCATGCGATCGAAAAAAAAAACGGCGTCAGCGATGGCTATGAAATGACGATCGCTGTCATTTTAAATGAAAATTTATATGGAGGAATGTCATCGATCGTCATTTTCAAGCTAACTGGACGCCGCTTTTATTCGATCATACGTTAGTAAATTTATTTATTCATAACAATAAATATAACTACATTGGATATATATTTGTTTTACAAATACAGCGTGCATTATTAACACAGCCTAGTATTAACCCATAGAATATATATTAATCTAAAGTCGAACTCGTGTACTTGGCAAACACTTGATATTGGCATCACAGATTGGCATACAGGGTCCGGCAAGGGTGCTACGAATATCTGTAGATCCTATAATAAACCCCTTAGAAATTTTGTATAAGTGCAAACCTAGAGTATGTATTAGGATGCAATTCAGGAAAATATTTCAACATCCACAGGGTGGCTCAAAATGTGTAAGTGGATTGGGATGTATTTTTTAAAAGGAATACACTGTATATTATTGCATTTTTGGCTTCATTTCAGATCACTCTACATAATCCTAAAATATCATTAAATATGTTCTGATACTTTCACAAATATTAATAAATAAATTTAAAAAAATAATATTTTTTCATCCTTTTTTAAAAAAATTATTAAAAATATAAGAAATGTCCGGAAATGAAAACTATACGTTACATATATACTTTAGGTTTGCACTTATACAAAATTTCTAAGTTGTTTATTATAGGAGCTGCAAATTCCCAGCGCACTTTTGACGGACCCTGTATGCCAAAAACAAATGTTTGCCAAGTACACGAATCGACAGAGCCCCGCATAAGGAATTAACATCCCATTAACGCCCCACATGAATAGTTGCTTAAGGATATCTCAGGAACGGGTGGAACTATCGGGTTGGTTGAGGACGCGTTGGACTTAGGAGAGCAATAGGCATCGGCTGAGATCCACTTAACCCTTATTTTAGAGATAGTTTTTTTAAATCGGGCAGCGGTAGTTTCAACCCTCAACAACGTATATTTAGGGCAGATTTTAGGTGACTTGTGAAACCAAAATAAAGACCTTTTGTTTTCCATGGTAAAATGGAGACTATAATTTTTATTACAAAAATAGGCTTAAAAGTCAAATAATGTAGCTACATATTACTTAAAAAATTATCAAATTCAAACAAAATACCGTATGTTCGAAAAAAAAACGGCGTCCAGTTGGCTGGGGAATGACGATCGATGATATTTTCCATATAAAATGACAGCAATCTACATTTCATAACCATCGCTGAGGCCTTTTTTATTCGATCATACGGTATATTGAACTTTAAAATACATGAAATTTTTAACGTATGTATACTTATTTTTTCCTAGGTGGCTTGGCTATCCATTGCTTTAGCTAGTTTTGTGGTGATCTTATGCATTGGGGCCTTCATTCAAGCAGTCATGGAGGCACATTCCTCCAACGCAGAAGACATGAAGAAGAATTCAATTCGAAGAAAGGACGTAATGAATACTGACCGGGCAACTCCTAACTATCAATTAATTTCAACTCCTTTGTCTGTAAGCCATGGTTTTATGTCTACTTTAACAGCTCTAACACAGAAGACATCCAAAATCAACAAAGAGAAAGATACTAAGAAAACTTTTACTGTTGGACCCTTTGAAGTACTGGGTTCTGGAAATAGAGCTGGTATTATAGTTGGTTTTGTAAATGTAAGATCCAAAGTACTTGTTACAGACCGCACTATATGTTACATTCATATTGAGAAAATTCAAAGAACAGTTCACTGCATATGCTGTACAAGTACTTTCGATTTTAAATAAATCTTTAATTCGTTTGTGCTTGTAACTAATTTTTAATCATATCTTCGTTTTCTGTGATCATCAGTTTTTCTTGATATAGTTAATTATAAGAGTCATTAAGAATTCTATTGGATAAAATTAACGGAAAGACAAGCTTATGCAAAAATAGAGAATTAATTGTGAATTAAGAGATTAAAAGTGTGAAATAAAATTGTGTGACAAAATCAATGCAATTTTGTATTATTTTTATTACCCTAATAGAATTAATAATATAAATAATATACACATTTTTAAATGACTGTTGATTGGCAAAGCAAATATTATCTCTATCTGTCTTTGACACCCATTAAAAAAAGTACTGACACCCATTTAAAAAAGTACTTCTTTTAAAAATAATAGAGTTGGGTTTTCCACATCAAATAAGTTTAAATATTCAAGTTACGTTTTAAGCATACCTAAAATTTCCACTATACTTTTAATATACCTACTATTTTTCAAATTCGGGTCTATTAAGCAATGCTAATAATATAGGTATATAATCTATTTAATCTAGATATAATTTTATGCTTACACCAATTAAAAATCACCTTTTTAAAAAATGAACGAGACACAGGATGTGATGGTGGCTTATTAAATTATATATTTAACCGTAATTTAAATAAATCATCCCTTTGCCTTGGTAGTACATACTTTAATTCAATTTGTTCGCTTCATTATTTATATTTCTTTGATTAAAGTATCCTTTCGGATTATACGCCCTTTTTGTTGATATTTTTTGTCGTGATGTGAATTAGAATCGCGTCGAAAAATTTATATCGGGATTAGGTGAAAATTACGGTTAAATGGTCAAGAGGCGCTGTCCATTCTTGTAGACATAACAATGAGGCTTGTTTAATTAGGCAGAAATTCAAAAGACTACCTGTAGCACGTCATCAGGTTGTTCGTTTGGTGCAAAGCAGTTCGGTCACAGTTCCCCAGCAGGTTGTTGGAAGTGGACGTAGAAAAGCCACGATCGCTATGTAGTTGAATACATTCACGAGAGAAAGTTGAAGAATAAACGAAAACAACACGATTCGAACGAGAATAATGTCTAACTCTTTGTGCAAATCATCGGTGGTAAGTTAAACATTATTTTTCTAACACCTTTACGCCCTATTTTATAAAGAATATTTGAAGGTAGGCTCATGTATGACCTTCCTATTAAGAATTTTTCATTCAAATTTTCCTAGCCTAGTAAAATATTTATAAACAGTAATTAAGTATAATTATTTCAACTACTAAATCAAAACATTCATTCTATTCAAAGTTTAGTGTACCTTAGTAACGTACCCAAAGAGTTTTTCAAAGGTAGGCATAATTTAAAGCCAGCTCTTTTAAATTATTCAAAGTGTTATGTTACGAATACCGGAATTATTTATAGTTTCTTAAGAATATCTACCTTTTTGCATTATATTGCCAGGTAATGTTGTTGGAAATGTATTATTATCGTCTTCTTTTAATAGAAATTATTATTTTCTTATTGATGATAGTCATCAGTAAAACAATAGAAAATCATCCAATGGTGTAGGTCATTAAATTCTAAATTAATTTAAAAACCTATAAAATGTCTCCACATTTATGTTTTTCCTAAATGATTAATATAGCAATAATAAACTACTTGAAAGTATAAAAAATAAATATTCAAGTATTATTAAATGATAACAAAATATTAATTTAAGTATTAACTTTTATATTATGGTGTTTAATTCTTACCACAAAAACCTACCGAGCCTTGAAATTATCAAAGCAAAAAATTAATTGCTTTGAAATTCAATGAGTCAAAATAATTTTTCGACCTATTACAATTATAACTTTATAGTATGTCTTAATGATTAAATGCATGTATTGAAATATAGTTTAAGGCGTATCAAGAGGTCATTACCGATGTAATTCAAAATGTACGAGAGCAATTCTTAGAAGATGGACTGGATGAAACGATATTACAAGAGTTAAAATCTTTGTGGGAGACAAAATTAGCGGCTACTAAAGCTGTCGAAGAGGTAAAAGAGGTTGACAAAATAATAGGTGTGTTTCCCTCGTGAATAAATCACTAATTTACTTTCAAAATCATGAAAAATAATGATGTTTCAGCTGCAAACAAAACCCAAAAAATGTCACAGCAAAATCAACAGACTTTTCTCAATCAACTTGCCCAACAGCAGAACCCTGCTAATCAGATTGTAGGACAAGTGCCACCTAATAACCACATACCTCAAGGAATTGCATTTCCAGAATGGAGGAGGGTACCAGTTAAGCTAACTATTCCTTCACCACCTGGCTGTACCACCACAGAGAAACGAGTACTCGGTATCGAGGTTCCAGAAGTATTTTTACAAGGTCAGTAAAATGTGAAGAAAATTTATCGAAATGGCGAATGCGCCAGGATAACAAATTTACTTCTTTTTAGATCATCATTTGAAGTCTATTTTAACTGGCCCGATTATTAGTGCCACTTTAAATTTACCCATAGATGCAGCTACAACATTCTTACAAGACCAAGTAAATAACGCATTTTTGAAGCACCAGCAATCCACTAATTTTGTCAACATAAATATGGGAATCAACCCTTCTTTAATTCAAACTGATGGTGCAGCATCTTGTTCCTTGAAAACAAGAAAGACACAAGAGGTACGCGGACAACATAGAATAAGGAAAAAGTTAGTAGCTTCCACAAGCGTTAGTACTGATGAAAAAGTGCCATACCAAAGTACCACTCAGACCCCAAAGATTTTTCAAAGCGATGGAGCACGAGACTCATCAGATGATGAGGATTTGGACGATGAAGAAGATGAAGATGACAATGATAACGATATTTTAGACGACATTGAGGAAGAAGCACAAGAAGCAGCCGAGGACGAGCCTTTAAACTCCGAAGATGACGTTTCTGATGCAGATGGAACCGAAGAATCTTTTAACACAGACAATGTGATTGTCTGCCAGTTTGACAAGGTACTAGAATCTCACCGTTACTGAATTTAGTACTCTATTTATTGTAATTAAAAAATCATGCGTTAACTTATACAGGAAATACTTTTCTAGATTACCAGAGCAAAAAATCGTTGGAAATTTCATTTGAACGATGGTATAATGAATCTTAATGGAGAAGACTACGTTTTCCAAAAAGCAAATGGTGAAGCAGAATGGTAAAAATAAAATTATTGGCCCCCTCCTTGAAAAAAATATGGTAAATCTCTACACAACTAAAATATACTTTTTTTGCTCATTAATATTTGTGCAATCTAGTATCTTTAATTGAAAATTAAGTTTATTTTTGAGTGTGATTTTCAAATAGTTTATATTATATATATTTTATAAGATGTTTTTTTTTTTAATTACTGAAATAAATATTTACGTCAAGATCTGATGCTTTATTGTCCTTATCAAAAACTTGTAAAATGTGTTCCCCAATTAATGATTCATCTTTAAATCATATTTATTGCTATATTACTGGTAAAAATTTCATTTTAAGTGTTTGGTTTTTGTTACATCATTCCTCTGAAGTAAATTTTCTGCTAACAAATGAATCACAAACATATTCTGAAAACTGATTATATATATATTTTTTATTTTTGCTCTGATAAAGGAGCTTCAAGTATAATTTGCAGGTTGAAATAAAACTCAAGCTTCTTTTATAAAATTTATTAAAACAAACAATGGAAAATGGACATATTTCAACAATTAAAAGTCACTGGAAAATATAGTAAATAAACTGTTTATGGAATTGTATACAATATTAACTATAAAAAATTCCTACAAGTGCCTAAACGATATTTAATATACAAAATTCAGGCGGTGTAGTTTTCATATTAAATAGGAAAATATCATATCTACATTGTTATAGTACAAATATACATAGTACGCCATTGTATCACATTGATTATCAAATATTCCAATTCAATTATTCTTATAAAAACACAAAATATTATTAGTAAAGCTTACCGCTCGTTTTAAGAATAGAAAAAGTACGTTCTATGAACCATTACAACTTGAAAATAGTTCCTCAAAAATATCATTAACTGCTTAGACAGAACAAATCCCATGACATAATAAATAGCACTTTTAGATGAGTTATAATAAATAGGGTGTATCTTATATAAAAATATAATAAATCAACGTTTTGAAGGGGGTACTAAATGAGGGGGTAGTTCCGCCGGTAAATCGTTCCCATCTATCTTTATATTTATTAAATGCATAGCAAGAGCGAACTCTTCATTGTCCAACATGCCGTCTTCATCGACATCTGCCAGTTTCCACACTTTTCTCAACACAGAATTGGGCAACTTGGATTTGACCATTTCAGGCTTGGCAGCTGAAAAAAATTTTTTTTTTAATTAACCAGGCAAATTCTATTTTAGTCAAATCATTAATAAATGCATTAAAAATTATTCCTAATATAATTAATTATATCAAATCCACCAAATGTTTACTGCATTTTATCAATGATAAAACTGAACTGGAAAGCTTTATAATGAACACAGACACATCAAGCCAAAATAAATACCACAACAAGCAAATATTATTAATTACATTAGTCTGCTTCCTTGATATTTTATATTTAGTTCGCCTATACACACTTGATAACTAAAAAACTCTCTAAAACATGTAAGGACGAATTTACAGCAAACATAACAATGTAAGACGTCATTTTCGAATGGTTTTATTTATGAAAAAAAGGGTTGACCGTAAGCACGAAAAAGATTTAACAAATATGAAAAAATCTCTTTTTTAGCTTACATCGTCTTAACGAGAAGAATTTCTTTCGTTTCGTCCAAATGCCAATCAAAGATGGGGCTGAATTCAAAACTTCTAAAAAACAAGGAAGCAGATATTTTCTATTTATTTTTTATTCGGTAAAAAGATCATACATAAAAATAAAATAAAACAAATTAAAAATGTAACCCAAACACTAAATTAATGCTAGAGTTAACAATAATGGTCGAAATAGGCAATTTTGTATGTAGATTATGTAATGATCTTTAAAGGAAATAGAAAATGATTATAAAATTGCCCAATGCAGATGGGACAATTCCTATTTAACTAATTAAAGTATGCAGATCACCATGAATTAGCAACACTGCTGTAAACTTTTTGCAAAAATAATTTTATTTCCAATAATATTAATTAAATATCGTACACTTATCTATAGCTGTATTTGCTCTTTATATTTGCTGTTATAAAGTGTGACATAATTAACAAAATATGATAAGATAATAGGAACTTTGCGTTTAATATTTGTTTTTCACTGAGTAAAGATCGTCTGAAAAATGGTTTATTTACTTGTATTTAATCCCTAGATTAATATATTAATATACTTCTTTCAGAATAAAATATTATGTAATATAATACCGTATGATCGAAAAAAACAGCGTTAGCGATGGCTATGAAATGAAGATCGCTGTCATTTTATATGTAAATTTACATGGGAAATGTCATCGATCGTCATTTCCCAGCAAACTGGACGTCGTTTTTTTTCGATCATACGGTACAACACAAAAAGCATATTACTAGCGAAGTTTTTTAACAGCAATTCTATGTAAAAATAATACCAACTCCAATAGATCTAGTCAATTGGGTCAATCAAACCCATAGAATTTAACATAATTGTTCTAAAGCAGTAAATACTTCAAGGTTCATTAAATTCATAAAAAGAACGCTATTTCTTGTCAGTTGCGTAAAAATCATGCTTTTTTTCGTGGTATCGTCCATTCCGGTGAAATTTTAGAAAGGAAAAAATTCCTTTGGGACAAACAATCAAGTATATTGTCTCTCACTGATCAATTATTCTATTATTATTGGCAGTGAGTAAGTGCAAACTGAACAATTTTAATTAAGCAGAAGTGTGTCAATAAGTCATTAATAAACTGACAGAATAAATAAACTATTTTTAAACCAGTCAAATTATCAGAGAAAAAAATAAAATTACTGTCTGAATTATATAACATCTGTAATAAAACACTTACCTCCGAGTTTATCTCTAAATATTTGCAAAGTTAATTTTAAAATAGATATTTATATTGTGAATATCAAGAAAGGATGTTCTTAACATTTTTGCAATTTATTAAAATATATTATAAAACATAAATTATGGAAATTTTATTCTTACCCATTCCAGTAACTTTTCCATCTACAGGGTTGAGCTGGTAAAATATATCGTCATATCTTGCTTTATCCCTGTTGACAATCCAATCATGTTCCCCAGCACCAGCATCAATGCCTTCACCCTTTTTGTAGCCAAATGGAGTGGCATCTTCCACATTATTAAATGCCCCACCATGTACATTTCCATCTTGATTGGTCTTATTAGTGTCTTCCAGTGGAATCATTGCCATTAGTTTAGATATATCATCAGCCAACATCCTATCTACAATTTCTAATAATTTAGGCTTCAAGGGATTGAATTTGGTGAAGTCCATGTTTACTAAAACTTCCTGCATTTTTTTAATTTCCGGAAAATCTCCAATAGATATTTGATGCTCTCTCTGTAACTTTTCATATAGCACTCCTAAGGTCTTTATAAGTTCTTTTTTCTTGGAATCCTTTCCAAATACAGAAGGCATCTCTTTCCTAAGTTCGGCAATAATATAAGCATGCACCTTTGCCAGTCTTGCTCTTTTAATTAAATCATTAAGTTTTCTCAATGCTGCATTTCTAGGTAATGATTGTAAATCTTTAAACAAATCCTGTTCTTCATCTTCAAAAAGTCTTCTATTTACATCATACCTCAAGGGCTGGTCCCAAAATGACCCTATATATACCCTTGCTACCTCAGGAGTCTGCAAAACTTTTCCTAATGACCACATAAGAGCTCCATAGACTCTCATAAGCTGTTGATGATCCACCATATCAGCTTTATTTAAGACAATTCGAATTTTATCATCATGCCCTCTAAGAGCTTCAATTGAACGACGGAATTCATCCGATATGTCGAGCTTATGTGCATCAAAGAGTAAAATTATCCTATCCACGCGCTCCGCGAACCACTCCAGTACCCCAGTAAAGTCGTATCCCCTGTCTACACGTTGCTTCTCTCCAGAGAGTATTCCTGGAGTATCTACTATCGAAAGATTTTGTAATACTGGCGAACTGACAAGAGAGCATTGCAATCGGTTTAAAAATGAATTACCAAACTTAGAGAGTGGTCTAAACTGTCTTTTCGGATCGACTACAAGGGCGTTTCCAGGAATTATACCTTCTTTATCATCGTACATAACAGCAATAAATCGATCAGTAGTTGGTTCAGGACCAATTCTAATACCAGGAAATTCTCTTTCCAATAAATACTTAATGAAAGTGGTTTTACCTGTAGAGTATTGACCTACAAGTAGGATCATAGGCTTGGCATCAAAATCGGAGTCTTCCAGCTTTGGACTGTGAAAATCGTGGAAATGATAGTGCTCCTCAAGAGGTAGTAGTTTGTGCTTGTATATATTTTTGAGGCCTTCAATAACATTATTGTAAATTTCCTGCTTGTTGTTGTCCCTTGACAACCAGCTGAACATCTTGTTTCGTTAATTTAATACTATTATAAACATACAACTATTTAAAGCACCAAGGTAAAACTGAACTGTTAAAAAAACGGGCGTACTTTTCATTGACTAGAGTACTTTTGACAACTACATTCCAGGGTTGGCACTGACATCGCGATTAACAAAATGTACAAAGTTATTGTACTATATTAGAAAATCCTAAATATCTTTAATTAAAATTCTGATTAAAATTGATTTAAACTAGTATTATTAAGCTAAAAAATGTATACTGTTTAAAAATATCTGTTCTAAAAGAATAAAGTAATTTTAAAAAATATTTGGAAACAGAAGACTGTAAAAATAAGGTACATATTTGAAAACAAGCAAAACTTTCTATAGCTACGTAATTTTTTATGACGTCGACAAACATCTTATGATTAATTCCTCTCTGTGATTCCTCTGATTAATTCATTCTGTAATCATGATATCAGAACACCTTTATAGAAGTTATAAAAGAATGCTTGATATACATTACAAATGATTTAAGCTGTTTTTAGCCAGTTTATGCTGATTATTTCAAGTCTATTCACATTTATCATAAATATTAAGCGCCTTCGCCATTTCTTCAGGTAAAATATCAATGAGACCACCCAAAACATGTAATTGAAAAAAGTTACAAATAAATACAAGAACTTATGTTTCTATAAGAACTACGCAATAGTTGTCCAGTGTATTTATTAAATAATCATATTTTCCAAATATTTTTATTCCCAAAAATAATTTCTATATTTATACAACCCAAAATACAATAATTCGAGGCGACACCTATGTACACATTTTAAAACATATTTAAAATAATTTTCCGGGAATCCAGGAAAATCGATAATACTACACGTAGAATAGAAAATTTTCCAAATTACCTGATGAGAAGGTAAACACAAAAAATCAATTTTTCTCCTACGTCAATTAACCCAAATATGTACGTAAATTTGACATAGAATTTTACTATATTTTTTCTTCTATTTATATTTTATTTTAAAAATGCTCAGTAGTTAATTTAAAACGAAGCAATAATAACACAATGGATAGTCATTCGTTAGAAGAAGTTACGAGTAGGTCGAGCAGGGACAACAGCCTAAATTTAGGAACATCTCAAACAAGCCTAAAGAGTACAAAAAGTCTAGATAAATCGAGTTCAGGAGGCAGTTTAAAAAAGGAAAAATGCACCATACAATTTAAAGATACCCCACAGGAAATCGACAATCCAAAAATACCTACTGATGCATCGCTGAAAGTGCCTCATAAAATAATTGCTAATTGGAGATCAGCTTGTGATAAGACTAAAGACAAGACAAAAGATTTACTGAAAAGGTGGAGGACACTTCCTGAAATTGAAGCAGAAAATGTTGATAAAAACACAAATCATCCAGAGACCAAAAAGGAAGCCCAAAGTGAGAGTGGCTGGAGCGTTCATGTATGGAGTAAGTTATTAAAATTATAAAAGGAAAATCTTTTTATTATATTTTATCCCTTAGCCACATGGGTCGACAGATTCAGTATAGATTCGATTGAAGATCACAAAGAAGAGTCTTATATTCTCACACCTATTCAAAAAAGCAAATTTTCCCATTTCTTTACTTGTCTTTTAGACCACGATCAAGATAATTTAATCAGCGAACAAGATTTTGAAGCACTGATTGAGGTGCGTAATACTAGCCACTAAACTAGCACAATTTATACATACTTAAATATCTTTTTCCATGCTGCTTTGGATTATTCCACTTTTTCATAGAGATTAAGACACTTTGCTGACTGGTCTCAAAATTCAACGGAATACAATATTTTGCGTGAAGTTGAAAGAGGTTTTATATCATCTTTTTTAAAAGACATATCAGATGATAAATTTGGTATGAAACACAACGATTTTATTTTATTCATACATTGCTAATCCCAATTAATTTTGTATTAATTGTATTATTGTCTTAGGATTTGAAGTTAATGATATCATTTACCTTACAAAAGAGGGATGGTTAAGCAAATGGGCAGAACTCATCAAAGGATCAAGAAATGTAATAGATTTCCCGATATGGCTACAGTTTTTTATTAAAGTTCTTTTTCAAGTTATAAACAGAGGAGGTTTAACTAGAATTATCATATAATAATTAGTAAATATATAAAATAATTTTCTTAACAGGTACGGGAACTATTACAAAAGAAGAATTGAGTAATTTTTACTCCTCAGTTTTGTGCCTGGATGCTGCAAAAGTCAAAGATATTCTTGACCTTGCATATCAAGCCATGACGTCAGTAAGTAATAATAAGTTTTGTATACAATTTTTAAATTCCGTTTATTTAAGAATGGCGACCACCCCCTTCATTATCGATCATTCCGGCTGTGTTTCTCCAATTATCTTTTAGGGAGATATCCAAATGGCTCAGGGCACCATATTCTGGGTGCCCCACCTACAGAAACATCGTCTGCTATGTTTCCTGTCGACTACTCAGCTTTAAACACACAACCTGAAGACTTAGAGCAATATACCCCCGACCAAAAATCCAACAGAAGAAGCGTTGTTGTTTGAAATGAAAGGCTGAGTTTAGGGTCCCATTATGTATAACAATGAGCAAATAGAATCAGATATATATTATAGAGTGATTAATATTACGAAACAGGAATAATGCTTTTACACGTTTTAATTACAATCATAATCAACGTAACGTCAATTAAGTTCGGAAAAAAGAAACTAGCCATATAGAATATTAGAAAATGTACATACACAATGAAAAAAATAGAGGTTCTTAAAATGTTAATGGATGTTATACACAATTAGGCTTTTTTCCTTTACAACAAGTGCACCTTCTTAAAATAAATTCTAAATACTATGTGATATTAGAGAGCCTATGCATAAATAAAACGATTATTTCTTAGAAAATGTATGTATATGTGCAACTTTTGATTCTCAGCAATAATTAATGCAATCTGATTAAATAGTTTATTTTCTTAATTATTACTTTTAAAGCTACTTTTTAGCTTTAACTTTGTTGGATATGTATTTACAAAAATAACTTATTTCTTTACATGCAAAAGGGAATTGTTACAAATATAATAGCTTATAATATAATATGGTTGTAATATAAGAATTTTTTTATTGAAATTGTTAAATCTGCCTCTACCTTTGGTATGGCCATAAGCAAAAAGCACATTTTGTAGTCATTTATCTTAGCAATAAAAAACAAATTGTAAAGTATAGTTTTATTTATTAAAAAATAGTGCATAATTTTCCTTAACAAGTCAGTTTAACTCACTAACATATTTTACAGAAGATATATATGTTTTAATTGTAGAAGAGTCCGCACTCATACTAAGCTTAAAAACTAATTCATTTAACTTCTCACTATTTCTTTCTAATATACGACTAGAGATATCTGCTAAAAGATTTTGTATTGGTTCCGAGAATTTCCCCGTTTGCCATGCAGAAAGCATTTGCAAAATATCTTCTTTAATTTTTTCATTGCCAACACTTTCCAATATTTTGAGGTAATTTTTACTTGCACTGATATATAAGCTTTCTATACAAGAATTGCTATTAGGAAGGGAAGGAGGCAAATTAGGAACTATCGGGGCAGATCCCCGAGCTTCTTGAGGGAAGGCCACCCTTTTGTTAGATATCCTAGATTTCGGCGGAGGGTTTTGGGGACTATAATTCAGCACAGGGGGATCATTCCAACCCGGAGTATAATCTATAATATTAAAGATACTAAAGAATGAACCTTGTTAGTCTTTTTCTTTTACCTTTTTTAGGTGGTTCTCCCATTATATTTAAACTTTCGTTAATAAAAATATAAACAAACGCCACATAACCAAAGTTTTTACATGACAGTGACAGCTGACAGCCAGTGACAGCAAAGATAAAAACATGGAGAAATAAGAGAATAGAGAGGTCCTTACGAAGGCTAAAAGGCCCTCCATAGAGGTGGTACAGCTGTAGCAAAAATTGAGCAAAAACGAGACTCCATATTGATTGACAGAAACGTATTCTCTCATTTGTGCATTTTTCTCAAATTTTAACATTTTTTATCAATAATTTGAGTGTTTTCAATTAAAAAAAATAAAATAATATAATTTAAAAACCACGGTGTCGTCTGCTGCACGCAGTTGTAGCAGGAGCATTTCACAGAAAACATATACAATGGACAGATCCGTAACACAGCTACTACAAAATTATCGAAAAAAAAATAAAAATTAGGTTACGAAAAATAAAAATTAGGTTTACTACAGACTACAGCATAAAGAACATACGTTTAATGGATTAATAAGTTTTACACATAGAGAAAGTAATAAAAAGACTTTTTACTAACTTTACCCTTATTTACCTAATCCGGTCGTGTTCAACTAGTACACATTTCCCCGCGTACTGCTCTTGTAATTTTTTTTATCCTTTTTTATTCTACAGATGCGTATAGTAATGTCTCGATATACAAGTGTGTCACCTTTTTTATTCTTCCGTGATCTAATAATATTGATGTATATCTGGTCGAATAACTTGTTAAGTAAAAAAATTTAAAATCATTTTATTGCAAGCTGTATCTGGAGTTGGCTGACATCTGTAGCTGACTTTAGCCGAACTTTAGCGGTTTAACATTGTGAATTAAAAAAAACAAAACAATTTCGCCTAGACATTCTTTTATTAACAAAAGACAATCATTTCTGAAAGAACATATAAGATTACAACTTAGTTTTAAGTATTTATATACACATAGTAAAGCCTTTATACAAAAGTAAACTGAATTGGTATATACAAAATAAGTATATAATAAAAAATCAGCAAAAAGGTCGAATAAATTTAGATAAAAGGTGGCTGGATTGTCTGATAGCAGCAATCAAAAAATAGAAGAGAAAATAAAATAAAATTACAATATAAAGTATCTAACCATATTCGTCCCTATTCTTTCGACACTTGTATATCAGTTATTTATTTACATGTGACCTCTAAAAACTTGTACTTGAATCAGAACTGGGTACCCTAATAGTGTTAGTCAGATTCTGAACTTGCCAGTATGCCATGCGAATCTGGGATACCCACAACTACCCCAGGGTATTCTAACCGCTAATATTTATGTTTGTGTCTGTGCTTTCTCGAATTGGAACTGGTAGAGTCAGGCGAATAGTACCGAGTTCTGGAATTACTCCTGCTTCTTCTTTTGGGCGATGCGGACGCTTTCCTACTATGCTTAGACGATCTAATGGGCGATGGGGAATACCTACTGTGTCGGCTAGTACTGTGGGGAGGGGAATATTTACTGGTGGAACTGATTGGGGAGTTGGAGTCTTTACGTTTGCGTGAGGATCGAGAGGAAGGGGGGGAATGGCGTCGCGAAACCCGCGGCGTCGGTGGACTGGCCTGCCTCGAGCTGCGCTTCCTTGTAGGGGTCCTGCTTTTTGACCTAGTAGTTTTGGGCAGAAAACAATAAAAACACCTTTTTCTTTCATGTAGGTCATACAAATAATACTCTAAATATTCTAAGATTCGTTTTTATATAATACACCTAGCCACCGTAGTTATATTATAACAAAAAAAAGTAATGGTACAAATATACCATAGGTTGAAATAAACTTTACAGGTTTGTGTTGGAATATCATGTACTTAAATGTCTATTTTAAACAGGGCGATCCATAAAAGCTTTAAATCAGGTTTTTGATTCGAGATTTTTTTTTTTGGTAATGATACTCATATTTAATTTTTTTTTAACATATTTACTAAATGTGGTAGATTTGCGTCCTTATGTTATACAGGGCGGTCCGAACTGTATTCCGGAAACTTCGGCAGCATATTGTGCAGATAAAAATAAGTAAAGAAGCTCGTATAAATGTATGTCCTAAAATGCTTAGTTTCGGAGATACCGGGTGTAGAAGTTTCATTTTTATTTCGCGATTTTTTCCAAATAACTTATGAAGTAACGTCAATATTTGGATGAAAATTGGTGTCTGGGAATTTTTTTGAAATGAAAAATTTAATTTGATGTCAATATGACTTCTACTTGTAGAGGGCGTCACCTACATATCCATATCTTTTAACCATATACATATTAGTTATATGTATATGCTTTTAACTGGTTTGAAGAGTAATAACTTTTTGTCCGTAACTTTTTTACTTATTTTTATCTGCAAAATATGCTAGCGAAGTTTCCGGAATACAGTTCGGGCCAGCCTGTATAACATACAGGGACCACCCTGTATGTGAATTCGCAGGTTTAGGTGTATTTTCATCTTTATTAAAGCTGCAATACAAAGAAAGAACCCTACTTAAATTATTGTGGTTCAGAATTTTTATTTCTAATATATATAAATTATATTATATAAAAAAAAAACATTGTGCCAACATGTTTTGCCATCACTATTTTAATGCTAGGCTAGGTAAACGAATCGTAAGTATTTAAGTAATAAATTATATTATTAAAAAACTACATAACCCCTTTGGTCGTGCGGTGCAAAATATTGAAAGAAATTTTTTAGTCAAGTATTGATGTGGCTAGCTTGATAGGCTATGATGTGGCAAAAACCAGAGATCCGGTTGTGGCTTATAACCGATTGTAGCCGGTGGTAATCAAAATATTGGCTACATTTTTTAAAGTGTAAAGTTAAATATCTCAGCTATTTTTAATTTATTTTAAAAATGGGTAAATAGAAAAGATGTTTCTTTTGATCAGATCTACCGCCCCTTAAAATACTTGCACTTATTGCAGAGACACCCTGTAAATTTTTAAATGGAATGGTCGAATCGTGCTGTATATTCACAAAGTACCTGTAAAATCTCAAACCAGAAACCGGATATTGAGATTTTTGGAAGGTTGGGTAGACTGAAAATTGATGTAATGAAAGATAAAAAAATTCTTATCATGAAAAAACTTTGAAATAAAATATGAATATTTAAACCATTTTATATAAATTTAATTTGGAATAAATCAGTAAATGTTATTCCAAAACAATTTATCCATTAAAAAGCTAAGAAAAGAAAAATACATTTTTTTAATAGAAGGGAGTGGAAGTAATTATCTCTATTTCCTTTTAAGGTAAACTATCAATGTATGTAAAAATTATACTTAAATCTAAAGGGTTACCTGTGTCTTGACGTCGAACCACTTGACGAACTGCGAGCATGTTTTTTACTTTTTCTAGAGGTACTATAAAAATCAGTAAATCATGAGCTTAGCAAACACCAAAACAAAAAAAATAAAAAATATAAAGAATGTTTTTTTTTTATAAACAGTACGTTTTCAGAAAGTACCAAAGAAAAATACCATGGCAATTTATGTTGTACTTACTGTTCCTTGTAATATTCTTCATCAGATATCTCCTCCAGTCGACGTTCGCTTTTGTCATAGTCTCTTTTGTGTTTCTCTGCTTTGGGAGTCTTCTCACCTTTTGATTCTTTTTTCGATTCTTTCTCCGACTTCTTCAGCAATTTTCGACGGTAATGCTCGACCTGTTGAGTCACAGTCCAACCACTTTTTAGCGCTCTTTCACCAGATTCTAATTCGTCCTGATATTGAACAGCTTTTACTTCAATCTCCCTTAGTTTTAAACGTTTCTCCTCTGTCATATTTCTGGAATAAAAATATATAATTGATTATATATGAGGTACCTAAAAATGTCTCGATAAAACCTCACCGTGTATCACTGTAATCTACTGAAGAATCCTCATTATTTAGGTTGCTACTACCATCCTGGCTTAACTCCTGTGTATTTTCTAACAAATCCCATTTGCTGGTAGTCATTGCTTGGGCTTCTATCTGATCAGGATCAACGGTTTCCCATTTGGACTTGATGAAACCTACACTGGAAAGTGATTTGTTGGCGTCATCATCCTTAATCTCTTCTCCTAAAAATACGTATAAATTTGAAAAAAGATACAATGGAAAATATGTAATATCAACCATCAATGTCTTCATCAACTTCAGATGAACTGTTATACTGCATCATGGCTGTTTTTAGCAAAGCTGCACCATCCAACAAAGCGCCTTCCTCATCTGAATTCTTATCCAGGGGATTTCCATCAATGTCCTCCTCTTTTTCGGGAGATTTTGTTCCCTAAAAAATATTTGAAACTTATAAAAAACTTTAAGGATCTTACTCCAATACTTACATCTTCTAAACCCAAGAATATATTGTGTAGCTTGCTCATAAAATCAGAAGTATAAATTCCTGTATCTTCCCAAGATTTCAGCACTCTTAAAACTCTAACTTTAAAGCCTTCAGCTTGAAGCCGGCTTTCAAGGCTATCAAATGTTTTCTTAATTTCTTTAATGACATCTACTAGCTTGGCTTGTAAGGATTTCCGGTAATTTGAGGCCTTATTTACTTTCACACCACAATTGTTTAAAATATCTGACACTAAATACAGTCTGGCTATCTTCTTAGTTATTAATGTTGACTCATTTGACAGTGACTCAGTAATGCAATCACTTATTTCATCCGCCGCTTCTGCATGATCGATACAGTAAACCATAACTTCAGCTATTTTTTTCTTCTCAGGAGTTAAGTTTCTAAGAAGGTCTTCTAATCGATCTCTTTGCGATTTAGATAGGGCTCCTTTAGATGTGTCTTTAATATCATCATCAATCACAAGATCATCAGGCATCCCTGCAGTGTAGGAAGTCATTACAGGAGGTTTCCACACAGATCCATCTCTAAACATTCTAAATTCTTTTGTTTTCCACTCTTTCTGTGAATCACCATTTAAAATTGAATATACCTTCCACCTATAGTATATATGTGCAGGACTTTGATTCTCAAACAAAAACCTAAGACAAAATATAATTTATACAATAAACTGAACAAATTAAAATATACATGTTTACCTAAACTGTGGATTATGTAACTCTCTATTCATAATCATAGCCTCAAACATTGGCCCTTCCCTTACAACAAATTCAACCATTCTATGAATCAAAACAAGGAGAGTTTTATCACTAGGTATAACAACTTTTATGGTAGCTCTTCTTAATATCAACTCTAATTCTTCATCAGACTTTGGAAGGACGTCCCTATCTTCTATTGCAGGTTGAGCATTGAATGGAAGACCTATTAAAAATCAGGCCTAAGCTGCATGTATGCTAAGGAATAGAACAGTCTCTTTACCTGAAGGTGGGGGAGGCTGGCTAACATCCATTAAAATAGGAGGGATATAGATTGGATGAGGTGGTATTACTACAGCCTTGCCCCAGCCCATTTTCATTTCATATCCAACAACACCTTTGCCATTTAAATTTCTTAAAGCACGTTCCCCATCCTTCCTGGACATGTAAGCGACAAAACCACAGTTTCTTCCTCGAGCTTTTTCCTCATCAGATCTAGGCCACATTATCTTGATGCTGGCCAGTGGTCCATATCTGCCAAAAATTTCCATTAACTGGGGCTCTGTTATCTGTAAAATATAACGTTAAAAAAATAAGTTGCTGCCATGTTTTGTTCAATACCTTAGGGTTAAGATTTCCTAAATACAAATTAGTAGTATTTGGGTCACCATTATCAAAGGATCCTATATCACCACATCTCATAAATAAGTCTAATTCTGATTCTATTGGAGTCTTAACATGAGTTTTAAATTTATGCCTTTCTTCTCTCTCCTCTTGTATTCTGATGAAAAAAATATATAAATATTAAACTAACTTTATTTATTAACTTAAAAAATCACTTACTGTTTCAGCTCTTCCATAAAGGTTTCTAAATTACTTTTAACAGGTTTCTTTTTTCCCAATCTATCTGGCTTTTTATCATTACCAAGCAATTTTGCATAAGCTTGTGCCTTTTCAGCAGAAGATACATTTTCATCTTTAGGCTGTATCCTTGATGTAGGTTTATACAGCTTCCCTTTGTCTTTAGTATCTTCCTCTAGAAAGTATCGTTTAGAAAATTATAACACATATGACATACATAACATACTTCTTGCTCCAGCATCATAAGTTCCTGCTTTTACCCACACTTTGCTGCTTCCATTAATAGGAGCCTCCTGAAAAGTTTCTACAAACTCTTGAAACACCTAAAAACAATTTTAGTTGATCAAGAAATGAAATACAAACAGAACCACATACGTGTGCTGCAGCTTTTTCTTCCTCTCTTTTACGCTGCTCTTCAAGTTCTCGTTTCGAAAGGCTTCTTTTTCCCATAGTGCCTATTGTAAAGGCTTTAAGTTTCTGTTCAGGTATATTCTGTTTACAAAGGTGATTAGTAGATTGATTCAATATAATGCCGACAATGTGGTGCTTACCTTTATTTTTTCGGACATTTTGAGGAAATTATCATTACTAAACAACTCAAATTAAAAGAAAGAGTTGTTAAATTACACCACAGTTTAATAATCCGTTTTTCTGCGAACATAAAATCTTATAACAAAACTATTATAAATATGTGGTTTAGGCGTAATGGACATTTTTATTAAAATATTAAAAAAAAACTGTCTAGTGTACTTTCAGGGTACTATTTTCGACATCTGTCCTGTCATCTGTCATAAGTCATAATTGTCATAAGTGGCATTACAGTACTTACAGATCTCTTTTTTATTTTTTGACTGAAATCGTGATAATTTGTTTAAAATTTTATTAACCCCGTTTAATTAAAAATTAAGAGGACAATTAATATTTATATAAAAAAACACAGAGAAATTTAAATATTTGTTGAATTTTTTTTTGTATGTTATACCAACCACTGATAGATGGCAATAAGAAACATTTTTAAATCTGTATACTAGCATTATACTAGTTGCCTATTCAATATATATTTCAAACAAATACATTCAAAAAAAATTTATTTAAACGTATTTGATTTCAAATAAATTTGAACTTTTTGGAACCAAACCTTTGACCAAACTAAAAGTTAAAGAAATAAAGAACTATTATTAATAAATCATAGGATTATCTACCCATTTGTTTTTAAAATTGCAAGTTATATAGATGGCGCTAAAATGCAACCTTTTTGCGAAGGAGTTTCAACCGCGATGTTCAATTATTTTTTTCATAACCGCCATCTTCTTTTGACGGCGTCGTTTTTTTGTTGCTAATAATTTTTGCAATTAATTTATATTATAATACTAGTCCTTCCTGAGTTTTACTCTTTCGCGAGTCGGATCTTTTGTTTCGGGAGTGGCGAATTCGCATTGGGGGTGTAAGACAACGTTTTTCAGTTATATCGCAGCAATTTATTGCTGCTTTATAGCATAGGGAAGTAAAGCCTGAGTTCCGTATCTACTTTGGAATATTCTCTTCGTAGGGGCGGAATCAGCTTCCAATGCGACCGTGCGTCGACCGTTCGATTTTAAAATAATATTTGGACAGAACCTGGACGTCCATACGCGAGTTTCCGATTCCTATAATTTTAATCTAATCAGAACTATCACATCGCATCTCGTACCAAAAATATACCAGACGTTTAGTGTAACCCTTGTTTATATATATACAAGGGTGTAACGATTAAGAATTGTAAGTTAAGTTGCATAGGTAATTATATTTCATCTCCTGCCTACTCTCCCTAGAAAATTTGGGCTATTATTTCAAGGTTGTTGAAATTCTTCATACCGACATCTACCTATGTTGTACATTGTACAATCTGTGTGTACAATGTTCATGAAGAATTTCAAACAGTCTCAAACAAATATATCATTAAAAAGTTCAATGAAATAATTCTTGGTATAAGAAAGGATGTAGAGGTTTTAGAAGAATTACATGGTACAGGTACAATGGAGTTGAATATTTAGTACATATATCCTAAACTTTATAGTATTTAAGAGGTATATAATATAATCTATCAGGTTAGTTATAACTGTAAGTTGGCGTTTTAACATTGAGGATTTAGGTATACCAAGTTTCGGAGTAATAATAATGAAGAAATCTTGTATATCCTGAAGTTATTCCAAAAAGATTAAACAAGATTCGTACATATCGATGTGATATCGATAAGTGAAACTAAGTAAAGGTGTTTCGTTTGAAGAGTTTCTCAGTATAGGTGTATTAGTATTAGCTTTATGTTTTAATTATGTTCTTGCCTGGTGTTAATATGAGAGTTGAACTTTCTTGACATGAATTATAAAATTTCACTTGACTTGACCACCTTATTCGATTATTAAGTTTATTGCATTAAAACTATAACAAATTTAATTGATTCAAGTTTTATTATAAAAAAACAGTCCAAATATTTTTTGTTCAGTGAGAAAGGAACACAACAAACTGCTGTACCAAAACGTATAGCAGAATAATACTGATTTCATTATAAAAACCTAAATGTATAAATAAATACCTATAGTCTATGTCAGATCAGGCAACTTAAAATTAATAAATAAATAATTAAATAAAAGTGTCTATATAGATAAAGCACACAGTTTACATGCTAGATAATACAAGTGTAGTGATGTACAGCCTAACGCACACATATTTCCTATCGCCACAGTCATATGTACTTTTCTAAAAGCTTTCAAAATCTTTATATAATGAGGGCACTTGTGTAATTTTCCTAATTCAAATTGTCCTACTTCCATTCCAGTGCCTGCCTCCTTCTCGATGGCAGTTTTCGAAGAGATGAGAGCAGTGAGTGGAGGGACCAAATAGAGGAAGATGAGCAGCTCAATGAGAAAGCAAAAGGACATTGCAAACGCCTACAGAGGAAAGAACTATTAGTTGTTGTTTTTTGGTAAGTCTTTTTTAAATGTACCTACCTGAACTCCTATTTCCAAATTCTTCAATTCATTGGTTTTGACTCTTAGAAAAATAGCCAGAGTGACCATGCTGAGCATACTGTTAAGTAGAAAGTATCTAGGGAACAGTACTTTTTGAACACTTCCAAAAGTATGCCTTGGCAGTGAAAAATAGAGAGACAGTCCTGATATGAATGTCATCCAGATTTGAGCTCCAAAGTGAGCACTAAATGATCCTAAGTACAGCAGCGTCCATACAGGTGATATAGTTGCCACTGTCGACTTGTTGGACAGGTAGATATAGGCTAAGTAGAGGACAGATATTGTCACTACAAAATGAGCTGGTTGAGTTGTACTTGTGATTATTCTGAAACAAGAAATGAAATTTCTGTTAGGCCTTCACATTTCTAATTGGTTTAACATTCAGTAAAAGTACTTACCTATATGCTTTTGTACTTTGGAAACTCTTAATATAGTCGTTGATCATAAAGACGAGCACTTTGGTCCAGTAGGTCATCACAGCCAAAATATCTTGGGTGTATTCCTTATGGGAATCCTTTTTTTCAGACAGCAGACAAACATTCTTCAGAGAAGCAAGCTCCTTCAAGCTTGTTGTGGTGGTTGTAGATGAAGGCAGTTCATAACTGGTTTTCTCACTTGGTATATGACCCACGCACATTTTCTCGTTCAAATTTTTATCAGATAAAATACTATTTTAAAAATCACAGCGAGCGTTTTCACAGCACGAATTTTAAAATTACGCGACGTGAACGATCTACTTGCAGTCAGTCTCACTTAATGAGATACTTCAGTACTCTGATGTGGATCTTATAGTAAAAGGTTTTATAACTGAATGCCCCCCCCCTGCTCTCTAGAGCTGGGCATTTTGTTTTTAAAAAAATATATATTTTTGATATAACATAATCCGACTGACATAAATGCATTGTTGTAGTATAATATATATAGTTCTTTAATTTTTGTAAATTCAGTTTGGTAATATCAAGTAAATTTTCTTTATAATAAGGGCATGCAAATTTTTTTACTATGGTTCATGTATTGAATTAATTGATCTAATGTATTTAATTATTGATATCGATTTTTTATCCATTCTTAGTTATTTAACTTTTAATTGTTTCATTAGAAAATACCTTTTCACACGGCTCTTTCTTTTACAAAAAAAAATATATTATATATCTTTAAAATTATGCAATACAATTATATTAATCTACTGTCTATTGTTCTGATATAATCATTTTTTATTTTAAAAAAAATATGTATTTTAAAAGTTATTTGATATTTGTTTATTATTATCTACAAATTATATATTTTTATTATATTTGGTTTATATACATTTTCTTGATTTTTTTTAAATACTATACATATGTATAAAAATATAATTGTTTATCTAATCTGAATGATCATCGAGAATGTTTTAAGTTTATTGAATTTTGTAATAACATTTTGAAATTATTGCCATATTTTTGAAATTGTTTCTAGAATGAGGGGAGAATAGGTTTTTAATTTTTTATTTAATAAAAATAACATCATTAGTTATTTCATTTAAATAATTTTAATTTTAGTAACATTTATTTTATTATATTTAATTTTTAATGTGTATCGACTGTTGAAGAACTGTTGAAAAAAAAATTGTTTTTATTAAATGGTCATCTGAAATACCTAAAGCATTTATTGATATGTAGGGAGTTTTTTTTGCACATATTTTCAATGTGGTTCTACAAGATCCTCTTTGGTTCTTCTTTTAACGAAGAAGTAATTTTTAAAACGAATTCCAAGTCATTGGTGTAGGACATGGGGAAATTTGCTCCATTTATTTTAATTTTACCGTTATATTTGTGGCTGCATAGGAATAAGACAGGTGTAAAATGTTCAGATATAGGATTTGAAAAGCTATCGAAAAAAATTCTAAGATGCTACGTGACCAAAATGCTCGTCTCGTAATATTATATAATATTTCACCACCTTTTTCTGTGGGATATTTTGTATTTATGGTTCTAAAAATATACAGTTTTGAGTGCCATCTTTGTTTGTATAGTGGGATATAACGCCACTTGTTCAAAATGTATATTTTTTGCAATTGAACAAATTACATACTCTGAGGAGACATTTTCCAATCAAAAATAAATAGATCAAAGTCTGTTTCGGTTGATTTTCCAATAAAAAACATATTCTTATTTTAGGAATTTGAGTAATCCAAATGTTTTGACAACATTTCACTGTCTATTTGGAAATTCCAAGGATAATTTTCAAAATATCTTATCACTGATTCTTGTACCCGTAAAAATCTTTATATTTTTTATTTTTTTTATTATCCTCTTTTGACGTACGCGTTCTGGAAAACTACTATTACTTTACTATATCAACAGTAAATATTTATGAATCATCAATAATCATATGCTGTTTTCTTTTAATTTTCTTAAAATTATTTTCTCTAAACGTAAAACTACTTTTAGATGTTCCTAGAAGTACATATCTATTTTGCTAGTTAATAAAAAAAAACAAATAGAAAAATTACTAAAACCTTGAGAATATTTCTAATATAGTATTGTAAAGTTTTGTTATAGAAAAATATGAATGAACTCAAGAGGGGAATTCTGTTGTCCAAAAAGGATGGGCTATTTCGAAAGAAATATGATTTTTTCTCAGAAAATCCGATGGGTTATAACGTGAAACACTTAATTTATGCAAATTAATGTGGTAATTCTATAGACGCACGAGATGTGTTTCGATGAAATCATCCAATAGACACAAAAACCCTCGAACATGCACTATCAAATTTTATTTATCAGGTGATTTTTAATTTCAATAATTATTTATTGTATGTAGGGTTTCCAGACAAGTTTTTGTAAATTCCGGACCAGTGAGCTCTGAAATCCGGACTAAAAATAAATTATAAGTTTAATTAAGTATGTAAAGTTTGTCTCATCTGACAGTCAAGAGTGTTCTGTCATTTTAATTGATTTTTTCAAATTTCGACTGGATGGGCCACTCCGGACACCTTAAAAACCCGGACATGTCCGGGTAAGTCCGGACGTATGGAAATCCGGTCTATGTGGAATTTTCTGCAATTATCTTGCTATATTTTAATCTAACCAATGTCGAGTGTATGTTCTGGTGTGATGTTTTTGAATTAATTATGTATTTATAACTATTGAAAACAGGCCAATTCTATTGAAAATGAAGCTCTGTGGTTAAATTAACATTATTATGCACATACGCAAATATTGACGGCCTGAATAAATAATTTTTTTAATTATTAAGTCAGTGTAAAATATATTTAGCGCTCTTTGACAACTTCATTCAGTTATTAACTCACTAAACATGCTAAATACGTAGAGAAACATTGGGTAACAATTTAGTGACATCAGAAATAATTGTTTCATTTAAATTATTTATTAAATAATACTTTAAACATGTGTTCATTTATAAAAACAATATCGATTTGGGTTGCAATTTTCATTTAGGTCATCTCAATACAGCGTTTATAATAGTTGTTCAGATGCACATTTTGCACAAAATGTTGCATGCAAATGATACGTAACAATATTTCGTTAAAAATCTTGGCGCGACTTCTTTATGAACTGTTTTTATTAGCAGGAATTAGACATTTATTGACAGGTTTAAGGTGCGCTAGATAAAACTAATTGAAAAGCAAGCAGGTGATTTATTTACGCACAGTTGTATATTTTGGACTTAAAAAATTCTGAGAGTCTTATGACTAACAATCAAATAACACGTTTTATATGGAAAGTTCTCAAAAACGAATTCTGCTTGCGTATTTGGCCACTTACGTATTTTTTGCGTTTATTGTTATTAAATCTGATAAAAATTAATTATGTCGAATATATCGGAAGATTTACATTTCTATATCAGATTAATAGAATTTCTAGATACTCGAGACCTCTTGAAAAGTCGAAGTAGTTAAAAAAATCAAATCAGGGGGTCATACTTGTAGAAGTCACCAAATCTTTGTAATAGGCTACATAGGGTCGTAATCTTCTGTATATTATTGTTATAAGATATGTATGGCTTTCATACATAATATCTTATGTCATCATCATCATCATTTTCAGCTTATTCAACCATTTCCAATTATGGTGTAGCCTCCCTTACATATTTATATAATGTGCCATTTTGTCCATTTTTAAAGGTTTTGGAATAATAGTAAGAATTGGCCTAAAACTATGAAAATTTCAGCATTTGTAGGAAATTTTATGCAGATTCAGAATTTATACGCCTTGTTAGATACGCTTAGGTACCTTATTGGCTTTGTGAGAAAATTAATTTTTTGGACCCTTGTTTTTGAGCTATTTTTGAAGTCGGTTAAAACGTCCTCTATATCTCTTACTGTTTTCGTAACACTACATTGACCTATCTTTTCTTATTCTCCACCTTTTAATTAGTAATTGACAGCATTTTTAAATTTACTGGATTTTTCAGACGTTGGTTTAGTTGTACGTTTTCAATGCACATTGAATGTTTTGCAATCTTCTAACTAAATAGACAAATATATACATCATCAAGTGTATACGTGCGAATTTAGCGTCATGCTTAGTTCATTGAAACTATAACGGTTAAGTGACCAATTACGAACTCTCTATCATCCAATTGTTTCATTAATTTGGCAAATAGGACACCCATTTTGCTAAGTGCACTAGCAAGTCACAGTGGTCACTTGATTGATTTCTTTTTTAATTTTTGAACTTGTGACATATCTACAGTTCTTCCTTATTTATTATCTACATAAACGGTTTTTTAAATTCAATTTTAGGAAGTAGGAAATGTTCTATTTTCTATTTGTATCACGCAGAGTGGTAGCTTCTTGGAATTACTATTTATTTATATAGAATTCTTTTGACTGCTACACTTAACTAATTATTTAAAAAATATTAGAAATTATTCTATTTTTAATATTTCTATAACTTATATTTTTTGTCTTTAAAATAACGTTTCTATTGTACTTCATTTAAATAATTAAGAAAGGATAAATATACAAACTTAAAAACCTTGAAAGACGTTTTTTTCCTGTAAAGGATCTAAATATTTCATTAATATTAGTCACATTTTTTTATATTAATGAAAGGATAATAATTACGTGACTATTAAAATAATTGCAGATCTGGACTGGCCCAGTTTTCTAAACAAAACAATGAAAAATTTCCCAAAAGTGTTTTTTTTCTAAACACCCAACGTGTAGGCAGTTATATCGATACAGCCTTATCATTACATGAAATTTTCACTCGTTTTATGCCTTGGACTTAATAGCAATCTTGTTATGGTCGTAAAATTATAATACTTTTATTCCTGTTTTTTTAATAATAAACCAACTGAAATATTTTTGCATGTTATACAGCATTTAAATCGTGGGATTTTTATTTTTGTCACAAAACAATATTTTTCCAAGAAGTTCTACAGACTACAGTAGTTACCAGTAGTTACAAATTAGCTCGAATTTTTTTGGTATTAAAGTTATTATAGAAATTAAACAAATTATGAAAAATGGCATGATGGTCATTATGGTCCTACACAATATCTGCACGCGATGTAAATTTTTGAAAAATTAACAAAAAAAATTACAGCTTTATTATTTTGCAGTGCATGAAAGATAAGAGACCTAAATGTGTTTATGTTCTAGTCGGTTTATTTTTGATTTGTAATAATTATGTTGTACATTTGTTTTTCATGAGTTAAAATTCGATTAAATTTTGAAAATCATCTTTGTTTTTTGTTTCTCATCATTATACAAACCTTAGATCCAAATAGAAGAACTAGAAACCAAATCAAAACAATCGTGTTTAATAATCATGAATGATACTTTCTTTTATCT